CAGAGCTATTTGAATATTGATGATGTCACATGTGGGCTGTATAAAATTACCAACTTGAAAATGAGCCTGCTACAGGTCTACTGAGTTTATTTTACTACTTTTTAAAGATTGATTTATTTATATTTGAAAGGCATATTTACAGGGAGAAGGAGAGATGAGAGAGAGAGATCTTTTATCCCCAAATGGCCACAATGGAAGCTAATCTGAAGCCAAGAACCAGGTACTTCCTCTGGGTCTCCCACATAGGTGCAGGGGCCTAAAGATTTGGGCCATCTTCTGCTGCCTTCCCAGGTGCACTAGCAGGGAGCTGGATAAGAAATGGAGCAGCCAGGACTTGAACTGGTGCCCATATGGGATGCCAGTGCTGCAGGTGGAGACTTAGCCTGCTATGCCACAATGCCGGCCCAAGAGCTACTGAATTTCACATTCTGGCTGTGGTTACCTTGGCAGGGCCAGACTATATTCTGTCACGGACAGGCCTTTTACAGCCCATGGGCCAGATATTCCTGACGCTTGCCCCAAATGAATCAATGGACTGGTCACTCAATGTCATACCACTCAGAACTGCGGTGTGATCCATGTGTGGCAAGGCTAAGTACTTTGAGTAGAGGATCTTTGTTCATGAAAAACAGAGCCTCACACAGATTGTTGTAGGGTGATCGGCGCGAAAACACGGCAGCAACCTCATCTCTTGTCTCATGCGAAAGAGGAATTTTCACGCGGACACACTCTAGTTTGCAAAGTATGATTTATTTAGGAAAGAGGAAAAAAGAGCTCCTGGTGGGCATAGTACTTTTTTATACACCATTCTAAGGATGGTACTTCAAAGGGGTAAAGAAGAAAAGGAAAAGACCCAGCTATCCCACTCCTAGGAAAATACACAAAAGAAATTAAAACTACATGAGAAAGGGATCTGTAATCCTATATTTACAGCAACACAACCTACAATAGCAAAGACATGGAAGCAACCCATCCAAAGATGAATGACTAAAGAAAATGTGGTATGTGTATTCCATGGACTATTATTCAGCCATTAAAAAGAATGAAATTATACAATTTGCAACTAGATGGTTCCAACTAGAGACCATTATGCTCAGTGAAATAAGTCAATCCCCAAAACACAAATACCACATGTTCTCTCTAATATAAGGAATCCATCATGCAAATTGGAACGTATAGTGATGGAGTCATGGAGACCACCATATCCTGATATGAAGACACAATGCAGCGTGCATCTCTACTTCCATATCAAAGATGGACTCCCAATGAAACTGTTGGACACATCTAGACAATGGGATGCTGGACTGTCTGACATTGTCTGTACCAGCAATATCAGGGCACGCTTAAACAGCAGACTGATGGAATTGTAACTCCTTATGAAGAGCTGTGACATTATGGGAAAAATCAATTGGGGGTGGAAATTGTGGGGAATGGAATCCCAGAGTATACAGAATTGTACGATAAATTTCAAAAATTAAAAAAAATGTGGAAAAAAGAAAAGAAAAAAAAAATAGAATGAACATATTTGTGTTGGACAGCAATGTTTACCCAAAACCAAAGGTACAACAGCCTCCAGAAGTTGAAGACTAAAAAAGAACATTACTTTGACAGTGACCAAAGTGACAGGTCTGGACCATTCTTCTTGTTTTAAGAAATGGAGGGCCCGGCATGATAGCTTAGCGGCTAAAGTTATCACCATGAACGCACCAGGATCCCATATTGGCACCAGTTCTAATCCTGGCTGCTCCACTTCTCATCTAGCTCCCTGTTTGTAGCCTGGGAAAGCAGTGAAGGACAGACCAAAGCCTTGGGACCCTGCACCCACATGGGAGCTCTGGAAGAAGCTCCTGGCTCCTGGCTTCGGATCAGCACAGCACCGGCCATTGTGGTGCTCTTCCCAGAAGGAGAATGTGCTTGGGGGGCATGGGAGTGTATGGGATAGGAGGAAACTCCGTTTTTACATTTAAAAAGATAGTTTTACCAGGAGCATAATTAATATCTTAAAAGTTACCTCACCGGGGACTGCTTGCCGCCCACCTACCTCTTAAGTACTACAGGATGAGTTTCTAATGGTGAAATTCCAGGTTTAGGCATCAGGCTTGGGAAGCTGAATGTTTTTGTGATACAGAATCCATCCCACAGCGGCTTAGGATGCTGGCTGGGGAAAGCCCCTCGCAGCCCCGGGCTCCTTCTCCTTCCTCTGTGGATTACGACTATTTCTAAAAAAAAAAAAAAAAAAAGCCAGCAGGCAGCTTCTGCCTCCCGCCTGTGATTTCTCTGTCCCGCCCCCTCTGCGGGGTCTCACTTCTCCCGGTGGAGGTGAATTCCTCTGAAGGCTGCGGCCCCTGTCTGGGACTGCCCGGGGGCCTTTTCTAAGAAGTGGAGACATTGTTCCTACACTTCCTCTCACTTCCAAGGCAGCTCCTGCAGCCACTGGCTGGCCAGCCAGCCTCCTTCACATCCTCCCGCTGCAGGCTTCCCACTCTCCTCTCAGTCTCCCACCCCCACCCCAACACACACCCTCCCTACTTGGGGTGGGGGTGGGACTTGGGGGTGGGGTGCCCAAGCGCTCTCTGTGTTCCAGAGCTTCCTCAGGGCATGCCCAGGCAGCGGTCCTGACTGGTTCTCTGGCCTCCGGAACGTGTCCCAACATGTGTAGCCTGAGAGCTGCTCCATTCCCACTCAGTCCTTCTCCCCTGCTGGCCTGCTTTGGGATGGGGAGAAGGGGGCGAAGAGACAGGAGACACCCCCCTGCTGCACCCACAAGACCCCAGGAAGATCCTGGCTTGAGTTTCTCTGAATCCAATCTTGATTTGTAGCTCTCTGAGACCTGGGGGGTGTGTGTGCGCGCGCTTGTATGTACATGTGTGCACAGGTGTGCCTGTGTATGCTGGGAATCCGATCTTGTGAGTGTATTTCCATTAACACACTCCCTTTTCTTCAGGACACAAATCTCGCCCCCTGGAGCACATGCTTGGCTATCCATTCAAGTGCAAGGTCACACATCTATAAACCTATATATATATATGGATTTAATATTTTATATGTATGTGAAATATTAAACAATATCAGACACATCATGGGTGCCTTTAAAAACATTTGTGAAATGTTATGGCTGTGGTGAGACAGAAGCTACCATTTTTTTTGACTGCCCAACAACAAAAGAATTATTTCATTGTAAAGCTCTAGTTCCACAAAACCTTAAATAATTCACTACAAGCCTTCATTTTTAAAAAGTTCTTTTTGTTTTACTAAAGTAAACAAACAGACAATGTCAAGTCTATCTGAAATGCCTGCCAGGCTAGGCGGCAGGGGTGTGCCTGTCCTCCTGGCTGGACACTTGACGGCCTTGCCCGGGGACACAGCGGGGCAAGGGGGCATGGAGAGGTAGGTGCTGAGCTCCGGTGCCCACCCTCGCCTGGCTCCAGGGCCAGGCAGGTGACTGTGGGTGATGCTGCCATCCTTGCTGCCCCTCTGGGGCTCTGGCAGCCCCAGCAGAGGGGTGGGAGGGCTGTCCTCCCTGAGGTCAGCTGCTCAGGGGAAGCCGGCCGGGCATGCCTGGGCAGAGACTTGCAGACACAGCCCAGCCTGCGCTGTCAGCAGCTGTAGCTGCTCCCAGCCTGGATGGGCCTTGCACTGGGGATTTCTGCTGCTTTGCTGTCTGCAGACAGCAGGACTGCAGATGGCCCAGGTGAAGCCAGGAGGCCAAGGTGCTGAATGAGGAGGTCTGGGGGGCTGAGGGGGAGGGGGCAGTGTGGTGGGAACAGACAGGGGTTGGTTTTTTTTTTTTCCAGTCAGCACACTCCAGGAATCGTCCCTTTGCAAAGGCTCTCGGTAAACAGCATGGGAATGGTGGGTGTTTGATCTTTCCCTCTTTCTGTACCACGGAAACAGGTAGTAAGCTGTGGGCTGAGCTCCTGGCTGGGGCCCACCCAGCATTCCAACAAGCCACTGGCCTACTCCAGCCTCAGTTTCCCCAGTAGTGTTCGTGTATGATGTTGGAACTGTCTGGGAGTTACCACACCCAAATCCACAGCAATCCCCATGCTTTGTTCAGTTTTGGGAAAGGGGAGGTGGGTGTAGGGGACAAGCAAACTGCTTTAGGGTCTGCTTTCTCGCTTTCCCATGGAGACCAAGGGTCCCCAATTCTCCCCAAGTCGTGTGATAAGCAGCAAATTTGCATACTTCATTAAAAATGTATATATGTTTACTTGAAAAACCAAAAGAGATTTCCCATTCACAGGTTCATTCCCCCAATGTGCCTGCCACAGCTGGAGTGGGCCAGACAGAAGCCAGAGCCAGGAATCCCCTCTGGGTCTTCCTTGTGGGTGGTGGGCACTGAAGTATTTCATCTGTTGCTGCCCAGGCTGTGCCTTAGCCAGGAGCTGGAATGGGAAGCAGAGCTGGGACCCGGACTGAGTTCTGTGCGCCTCAGTTTACTCATTTGTGAAACTACTGGGGCTGAACCCCCTTCTGGCTTCAGCCACTTCGCTGGGGCGTCGTGAAGGAAAGCCTAGGGACAGTGGAACATTTCTGAAAACTGTAGAGAGCCACATGATTTTTATTATATATGGATTTTTTAATATAAAAAAATAATGTCATGCTTCCTGATGTTTGCTTCAGCCGGGTCAATCCTTGTTTATAGAGTCGGCCAGTGGCGGGCTCCGGAGAGAGCCCTTGCTCTGTCCAAGCTGCCCCTCCAGCGTAGTGCCAACTCCCCACCCCCTCCCCTAACGTACAACACGCCGCTTGCGGCTTTAGGTCTCGAGGAAATGGCTCCGGCAGACAACCCAGGCGACGGCTGCGGGGAGGAGGGCGCGCCCTCCCGCAGCACGCGAGGCTCCGGGCCGGCCGCCCTGCTGGAGCTCGGCCAGGCTCCGGCAGCCAGAAGGAACCCGGGCGCGGGCGCAGCCGGCCACGGCGGCGGCTGCGGTGGCGAGGTGGGCCGAGCACCGGGGCCCGCCCTCAGGAGGCGGGGCGGGCAGTGGTTATATCAGGGCCTTTCCGAACGACGCCCGCCGAGGTGTACGCAGCTGCCCAGCCAGTCCTTGGAGAGCCAGAGGCGGGTGCCGAGTCACGAAGACACCGACAGCCCGAGGAGGTGAGCGAGAGGCGGAGAGCGGCTCCGAGCGCAGCCGGGCGTATCGGTGCGTGGCTGGGACCGGGGCGTGCGCTGCGTTCGCAAGGTGTTTCCGTAGCAGGTGAACGGCGCGCGTGGGTCTGTTTGTGCGCGCTCGGAACTTGGGTACCAGGGGATCCCCTGCTGTGCACAGCTGCCTTGGGAGCTCAGCTGAGGCGAAGGGAGGCGTGGACGGCACAGCCCCGGGGAGCTCGGTCCTTGGAGCCGGTGCCCCCTGCGACCGCTGGCGACGTGGAGATGAAACCCGGGTCCCCAAAGGGGCCCAGAAGGGGCGGGGGACGTTGAGTGGTACAGGTTCTTTTGGGATCGGCGCCTGGGAGGGGCTCGGATCCAACCCGGGGTTCCTGAGTTTCCAGGTCCCTTCAATGCCGCAGTGTCCGCCTCCCCGGTGGAGCGCTGAGGTCAGCGCGGGCTGTGTCCCTGGCCCTCGGGAACTTGCCAGGACACGTCCCCTAAGGACGATGGAGGAGGTGACTCACTGTGACAAGGAGACCCGCGGGACGGACCCCGCCCGGGCTGGGCGAGGTGACACACGACTTTTCCCTGCTTCCCCAATACCCCCTCCCCCTGCAATCTCGGTGCCCCCCTCGGCACAGTGACCTATTTGGCCAGTACAACGTGTTCCCAGGAAAGCCGGGACACTAGGAGGTCCAGGACCGGGTGTCCGGTCCCCCTCACGGCGCGCCCTGGGGGACCTGGAGCCACGGCAGGGAGCCAGGCCGGCAGTCGCAGGGGGCCCACTCAAGCCTTTCCCCTCGACCCGGAAGACCCCCAGCCCAGTTCGCCCTGGGGTCGGGCTCTGGAGCCCCGGGAGAGAGCGGAGCCCTGCACTGCCCAGCAGTAGGACGCTCCCGACGCACCCCTAATTTCTCCAACCTCCGTTACTCTCCAGACTCGCTTGGGCGCCTAAGAAGGTTCGCATCCTGACGGGATGGGGGGCTTGGGGGAGGGCTTGGCTGCCCTGGGGCTCTGCCCAACGCCTTAGCGCCCGGAGGCTCCCTGACCTCGGCTGAGCGCTGCCGTGTGGGCAGGGGACCGTCGCCCCTACGCTTTACCCACTGCATCCCGGGGGTCTCCCGCGCCCCCTCGGGGGTGCACCGGAATCCTGGGGGCTGGACGAGGCCCTTCGGGGGACGCCCAGACTGCTTTTCCCCAACTTCCCGCCTTCCACGTCGCGTTACGGGGAGTAGTTTCGAGCGGTTTTGTTTTCTTTGCCGCCGTCTATTTTTATTTTCCAGGGATCTGACTCATCCCGCGCTCTGGGCGTGGAGATCAGGTGGAGGGGCCGGGTCTCGGCGCGCTGGTGCCTCCGTGGGGGCTACACGCGTCTCTGTGGTGTCTCTCCCTGCATGTCCACATGCGTGCCTGGAGCGTCTCTCGGCGCGTCGATCACAGTCTTGTCCCTGTGCGTGTCCCAGACGGTGCGCCCGGGGCGAGCGCGCGCTTTCCGTGGCCGCGGTGGCGCGGGCGGGACTTTCGGGCTGTGCCGGCTCAGCGTGACGTGTTCGCGGAGCGGGCTCCTCCTGCTCTCCCCGCCCCGAGTGACGCGCGGCCGGAGTGGAAGCGCAATGCCGGCGGGCGGGAGCGCAGTGGGCAGGAAACTGACTCATCACGGCCGCTCCCGGCGAGCTGGCCCTGCCCACGCGCCGCCCGCCCGCGCGTGGTGTCCTGGAGACTGGCGCCTCCTGCCGGCCTGGGCGCGAAGGGCCAGCCCGCCCCGGGCACCCCAGACAAAAAGCAACCCTGTGCTTGATGATACTTAGCTAATTCGTGCTACTTTCCGGCATACTAAGATGTTAAGGCGAGGAAGTTCCTCTCCCTGACTTGTTTGTACAAGGAGGGTTTGAGATGGAATTGGGTTTTTTGTCTTTGGTTTGTTTTTGAGTTAGCAGTACTGATCACAGGCAGGAGGGTTGAGAGAAGGCAGTGTGATTCCACCTCCCCAACCGTGGGGTACCAACCCACCAGTGCGTACCCCAAGAGAGTCCAGTTGGGAAATGGTGCCAGTCATTAAGTCCACTTCAGTTTGGACTAAGTTGCTTAGGGTGGGGTAAGGAATCGATGTGTATCCCCAAAACATGCCCTTTCCCTGCACCCAGAGAGGAGTTTGGTGGGCCTGGGAATGAGAGAGGACTTGGGGCGCAGGGTCAGTGTCGAGCCAGGACTGTCCACGTGAGCCTGAGAAGTGATTCTTTGGGAGCTGGCACAGGTTTCCTTTGCAGGGTCGTTACTGTTTATTAACTGCTTGGAACAGCCCTGGAGAGAGTGGACACAGATTCTTAGGGGGAGAGGGAGGTGGGTGGCCTTCTGCTTTAACAGCTATGTGATTTGGGGACAAGTCTCAGCTCTCTTTGAATGAGGTCACCAAGTGCTTCTTCTCTCCAGCCAGCTGAGTACTGAAGTCATGAGCTCCCCTTGCCAGGTGCTGCAGGTGTTAGGGTGTCCCTTGGCATTGCTGGTAACCCAGTTCCCTGCCCAGGCAGCGTCAGGCTAGGGCGGAGCAGGTGGGTGGTTGGGTGTGTTTCTTAGCCGACTCACCCTCGCTTTCCTGGGGAGGGAGGAGAGGAGCCAGGTGGACCCGCCACCCTTTCTTCTCACTCTTTCCTTACTCACTGATGAGTTCCTTGGAGCAGGCCTTTCCTGGGAAAGCTCTAGACTTGGAATCACCTGGTGTGCCTGGCAGGCTGTGCTGGCTCAGCCTGGGAGAGCTCATCAGCCTAGCCTCGCCCGGCTCAGCCTCTCCCTCCCCCTGGGCCACCCGGCTGCTGACACCCTTGAGAAAAGCCCCCCAGCTGGCGGCACCTGTCAGCTGCTGTCTGGAGGGGGAGTGAAGGGGAGGCGGCCGAGCCAGAGCAGCAGGCATGGAGGAGTCATGGCAACACTGTCTTAGCTTCCCTGGCAGGGTCCCAAGGCTTTGGCCCATCCTCTTCTGCCTTCCCAGGCCACAAGCAGGGAACTAGAAGGGAAGTGAAACAGCCGGGTCTTGAACTAGCACTCATATGGAATGCTGATGTCACAAGCAGAGGCTTAACCAACTATACCATGTCTATGGACCCCATTTAAAGGCGTGGAAACTGAGTCCCAGAGCCATGCAATGGCTTTGGAAAATCTAGGTGGGAAGTTGCGGAACTAGAATGGTAACTGCAGGCCTAGGTGCTTTCTGACTTCGGGGGTCTGGGTTGAGGGGTTCGGGAACCTGGAGGAGCTGTGACCCAAACCTCCATGTGGGAGTGGATTGTCAGGGCTGGCCATGGCTGCAGTTAGGAAACCGTTGGACTCTGGCAATTCACACCCATTTGGGACATTCACACGCCTAAGCGATACTTTGGGGGGAAAAACAAATTGATTTTAGCTGATAACATGTGGAGGCAAACAGGACCCTGAGCCCTGCTGGGGCAGTGAAGTTGTCCTTGTGGACATAACCTGCCCTCCACTGCCCATGCCCCCGGAGACATGGGTGTGCCAGGCTGGCTGAGCTCTGCCTGCACAAACGAGGTCCGTGGGTGGCAGCTGTGGCAGCTGAGTCACGCAGCGGAGCCCCAGCCCACACCCCATGAGAGACATGAGTGCCTCCTCACCAGGGTCTCTCTCTCCCATTGTCCCAATCCCAGGCACCATGTCGCAGCTGTCATTGTCTGACGAGATGCCACAGTCCCCCCGCCGGAGCAAGGCCTGCCGCCGCCTCTTCGGCCCTGTGGACAGCGAGCAGCTGCGCCGTGACTGTGATGCGCTGATGGCCAGCTGCCTGCAGGAAGCCCGGGAGCGCTGGAACTTCGACTTTGTCACCGAGACGCCACTGGAGGGCAACTTTGCCTGGGAGCGTGTGCGGGGCCTGGGCCTGCCCAAGCTTTACCTTTCCCCAGGGCCCCGGAATGGCCATGATGACCTGGGAGGTGGTAAGCTGCCTGGCCCCTCAGCGGTCCTGCTGCCGGGCTCAGCTCAGGAGGATCACGTGGCCCTGTCGCTGTCCTGCACCCTCGTGCCTCACTCCCCTGAGCGGCCGGAGGATTCCCCAGGTGCACCTGGCAGCTCTCAGGGACGAAAGCGGCGGCAGACCAGCATGACAGGTGAGGACGAGGCGGGGGACAGTCCCAGGCCTGCCCTGTAGACTCTGGCTCCAGGCCTGAAGAAGGGAGGCCACCTTTTGGAGGGAGGTCATAGCTAGTATCCATTGAGAGTACACTTCCTGTGATGGCGGTGTGTCTTGTTCCTTGCCTTACTCAATGCCTGGGATCCAGAAAGGGGTCTGGCACAGAGGAGATTCAAATGTTGATGAAGACATCTGGTCACTTGGCACACAGGGCCCTGCACCAAAGCCTGTATGTATGGAGACCATTTCATGTCACCGTTACTGTGCCCTGCCCTAGTGAAGTCTCATTTTCTATTTATAACTTATCCCTTTGAGAGACAGAGAGGCATCTTCCTCTTAATAGCCTGGGTCGAGGTTGAAGGCAGGAGCTGGGAATTCAATCCAGGTCTCCCCTGTGGGACCCACTTTCTTGGGTTATCACCTGCAGAGCCTGCATAAGCAAGGATCCTGGGGCCACGAATCAGAGGCAGGAATGCAGCCAAGCATTCTGGTACAGCATTCAGGCTTCTTTACCCGTCGGCTGAAGGCTGCCAAGCACGGGGCACAGGGCTTGTGGGACGGAGGGGCCCAGTCTGTGTTGCAGCTGAGTCCATTGAAGTGGCCGTGTTTGGTGGCTCTTGCTCCGGGCAGCATGGCCCAGCCCAGCCCTGTGGGGGAGGGGATCACACCTGTGCTGCTATGGTTCCTCTCTCTACCTGGCAGGGAGGTCCCCTCAGCCCTGCCACACACTGTGTGGTTCCAGGTGCCATCTCCCCAGCCTGGCTGACTTTCCTGCTCTCTCTCTCCCTCCCTGCAGATTTCTACCACTCCAAACGCCGGCTCGTCTTCTCCCGGAGGAAGCCCTGATGGGTCTGCTGGAGACTGCCGCTCCTGGAAGCCCAGGGGCCCCTTGAAGGCTCCCTTGCTCCTCTCTGCCTCCCTTGGCCCTTCCCTATGTGTGTCTTAATTATTATTTGTGTTTTAATTTAAACTCTCCCTCATGTACATACCTGGGTTGCCCTGACTCCCCTCTCCCAGCCTCTGGCATTAGACTTATTTAAGAAGAAATTAGGCAGTAGAGTAATAGGTGCCCCCAGAGTGTTGGGTGTTTTTATTATATGAACTGTTATTTAACGCCTTCTGTCCTACGCCTTTGTCTATAGGTGACCTGGGGCTGGCTCCTTCCCAGGCCAGCACCCGTCCCCAGCCCCGGCCCTTCCCTGAATTCTCAGCGTGAATTCCTTGAGAAGGAAACTCCCAGCACTTTGGAGGGGGACCATCCCCGAGAACTACAGGGTCTCCTCGCCTCCTCTAAGGTTGCACAGGGGACTCTGAGCTGGGCACAGCCTAAACAGACCTGGGGACTCAGTGTCCTGCTGGCCCTAAAGCCCTCTCTGTTTTTGGAAAGAAAGGGTCCTGTAGCAGCCCCTTCTCTGGCCACTGGGGAGCCTGCTCCTCACCCCACCCCCAGCAGCTACCCCTCATTTCCATTAGGGCTCTAATGTCCCTCCTGCTGCTCTCTCTCCTCCCTGCCCTCCCCTGTCCCCCCAGTGCTCTCCTAGCTCCAGGTAGCTTGGTGGCCAGGAAGGGCAAGCAGTCAGGCAACCCAGGCCTGCCTCTGTGGTGGCCTGGGGGTGGGGTCCTGCCTCGTGGGATGGCCTCCCGCAGTGGGGATCTCCGTGAGTCGGTGCTTGTGGAAAGTGGGTTTTTTAGGAGGAAGACCCCTGTCCCTGGAAGTCTGTCTGCCCCATCCCCTCCCCATCTCATTGCACTTTGAGTAGCAGCTGAACAAGGAGCAGGGCAGAGGCTGTGGAGGACACACTGGGTGGGGCTGGGAGTGGTGGCTTTGTGTCGCTGGAGGTGCTGAAGCAGTTAGTGGTTCTGATCCCAAGCCCCTTCCAGCTCCTGTGATGTCCTGGCCTGGAATATTTGTGTCCCTCCCCACATGTCCTAGTGCCCTTGTCTCTCCACCTAGACCACACACCTCTCAGGGGGCAGGGACTACGCCCCCTTCTTTCCTGTGTCCTTCACAGCCCCTACCCCAATGCTGAGTATACAGCAGGTGCTCAATAAATATTCCTTAATAACTTGTGCATTATTGTTGTGGTCATTATACTTTGTCATTTATGAAAATAAATAGATGAGGCTGGGGGATGTTTTGATTAAAAATAATTTTACAGATTAAACATTTACATTTTTTAGAAGAAATTTTATTTATTATTTGTTTGAAAGAGTAATCAAGGCAGAAATCTTCAATCTGCTGTTTCACACCTAGATAGCCACATGGCCAGCACAGGACCAGGCCCAACCCAGGAGCTCCATCCACGTCTCCCACATGGTGCAGGGACCTACACATTTGCACCATCTTCCTCTGCTTTCCTAGGTGCATTAGCAGGGAGCTGGATGGGAAGTGGAGCAGCTGGTACCCACATGGGATGTCAGCATTGCAAGTCTTAATCAGCTATGCCACTGTGCCGGGCCAAGCATTTACATTTTAAAACTTCAGAAAGCTTGGGACCAGCGCGATAGTTCAGTTGGGTAAATTCTCTGCCTTGCAGTGCCAGCATCCCATATGGGTGCTGTTCATGTCCCAGCTGTTCCACTTCCCATCCAGCTCCCTCTTTATGATCTGGGAAAGTAGTGGAGGATGGCTCAAGTCCTTTGGACCCTGTACCCATGTGGAAGACCCAGAGAAGGCTCCTGGCTTCAGATCAGCTCAGCTCAGCTCTGGATGTTGTGGCCATTTAGGAAGTGAACCAGCTGATGGAAGATCTTTCTGTAAATCTAAATATTTTTAAAAATTCAGAAAGCTAAGCAAACAGAAATATAGCATGGCAAACAACAAAACCAAGCGGTCATCATTGCACTACTGCCAGTACTTGGGTTTGCTCTGTAGTTTGGTGAAATGTATACCATGCCTTAGGCTCATTACTGTCTGGGAAGTACAAATTAAAGCCACGTACTTGTAAGAGACCAAAGTGACTCATGGAGGATGGACAATGCCAAGTGCTGGCAAGGTTGGGAGAACCTAGAGCTTATTACTTGTTGGCAGGGGCATAAAATGTTTCAACTGCTTTGTAAAACCAGCGATGTCCTTAAAAAGTTTGATTCCACTCATTTGAAAGGCAGTTACAGAGAGACACACGCACAGACCTTCTCTATGCTGGTTCACTCCCCAGTAGGCCCCAGTGGCTAGGACTGGGCCAGGCCTAACCAGCAACCTAGAACTTCAACCTGGTCTCCCACATGAGTGCAGGGGCCCAAGTTCTTGGGCCATCTTCTACTGGTTTCCCAAGTTGGATTAGAAGTGGAGAAGCTGACATGTGGCTGCTTCTCTTGGCACGAAAAATAATTCAGGCATGAGACAGAGTGCCACATTCAGCGAGGCTGAATGGGACAGGGCATCTGCCTGGACAGATGGGCAGCTATCCACACACGGTTCTAGAGATGGTGCCCAGGCATTCCCAGGCGGGGGCAGCAAGGTGACACGGTATAACAGGAAGCACCTGAGGGTGCTGCCTGGATTCAGACTGGGGCTAGTAAGTCCTTTCTGCCATTTCTCCTTCCCCATCTGCATGCATCTGCTTCTGGCCGAGAGTTTTGCTGGGGTGCGGGGTTGGGAAGCTGGGGAGATTGCTCCCCAGGGTTTAGTGCCCAGTGTTACCCAGCAGAGAGGATGCTCCTGAGGAGCTGGCCCCGCCCCCACCCTGCCACCTGCAGAGGTCTCTGGGTGCTGGCAGGACTCCTTAACGTGACACTTGGGTTGCTCCCTTCCTTGCTGTGGGTGCTGCATTTTCCTTAGGCCTCCTCACCTACATGGGCTAACTTCTAGCTTCCTATTGACAAATCTGGGGTTAACTCTGCTGGCATCCTCCAAGATCGCCCTGTGGACATCTGTTGGGCTCCTTGCCACCTGACACCCTGCCCAGTACTGGCCAGTTCCAGGTGTGGCTCCTCACAGTGAGGTGCTGGAGCAGACAGTCATGGCAGGAAAGTGTTCTCCACTGTGGAACTACAACATCGTAGGCTGCAGTGAGCCCAGATGTGGGCCTGGCATTGGCCGGCAGTCACGCCCCACAGGAAGTGGTTGAGAAGTCAGGAGGTCCAGGCTAAGTCCAGGTCACATTGCCTGCTCAACAGAGCAGAAAGGGGAAGTGCCTGGCCCCAGCCGCTACGGTGACGGGGCCTGTGATGGGGTCTGTGACAGGGTTGCTTCTGGGGCCTGACCTTGCTCAGTCCTGGATGTGGCTCAACTACTTCAACTTCCACCCAAGGTACTATACAAATGTGGTCTCAGATATGCCCTCTGGGCCTGGACTCCCGTGGGTGGCCTGCCCCGCTGAGCTCCCTCCCAGGGTATCTGAAGCAAGGAGGGCCCCTGTGGCCTTGTTTGAGCCCAGTTCCGGTCACTGCATCTCAGAATGCAGAATAGCTTGCTTCAGGCTTTACCCAAGGCCGAGTGAATTCAAGCAGGACAATTGTTCCCAAGGTCCAGCTGTCCCATGACCTCTGTTTAGTTTTGGTTTCTGGGCTCCAAAGCGCAGCAGTGCTGTGTTTGACAATTGGCTCAGCTGTTGCCTGAAGTGCCTGGCTCATGCTGCTTTTAACCCTGGCACGTGCTCTGTGCTGCCTGCCTACTAGGTCTTTGCCCCTCCCCTGAGCTGTCACAGCCCACGGGGCTCAGGGCTCCTTCAGAGAGGGCTGTGAGCACCCCTGACTTTCCCCATGCCGCCTCACCGTGACTGGAAGCTGAGGAGCACATGAGCTGATGCTTGAGTGAGGCTCTGGGGACTTCACTCTGTCCCTAGAAAAGAGGGAAAGTTACTGCCAGACAGAAGTTCCCGGATTGGAGCTCCTGGATTGGTTGGCCAGAGCAGCAGGAAACCATGTATATTTCAGGATGTATCCAGACCCCAGTCCCTCCTCCTCATCCGCTTCCTGGCCACCCTCTCGGTCTGAGCCACCGCCCCTCATATGGACACTCTGTCCCTCCTCGGCCTTTGCCTGCTGTAGTTTACTCCCCAGAGCAGAAGTAGCTAGCGTGGTCTTTTTCCAACCTTAGCTGGGTCAGGGTTCCTTCTGGTGGCTTATAACCGAAGCCCAGGTCCTCACCCGGCTGTCTAGTGCAGCCTGTTACTTCTGACCTCATCGCTTGCACCCTCCACTCCTCCAAGTGTCCAGTCACGCTGCTGCTCAAGTGCACACAGCACGTTCCTGCCACAGGGCATTCACTGCATCTTTTCCCTGAACAACTCTCCTTCTCAGCCTTCTTTCTCACACACTCAACGCCAACGCTGCTTCCTCAGACAGGCTGTCCTTCACCTTTCTGTCTACTTTTGCCCTGTATTCTGTTCCAAGGATTCATGCAGCTGTTGCCACACCATTGGATGACTGTGGCTCTACAGTATATTCTGGTGTCAGGTTATTCCCCAAAGGTTAACTTGGCCGTAGGCCCCCTCTGATGTTGAAGGTCACTGTTCAAGAGTGGAGCCCACAGTAAGGACGGTGTGCGGCTCCCCAGGCAGTCCACAAGCCTTGTCTGGGGTGCCCCAACTGCCGTCCCACCCCCACAACCAGAGACTTGACTCAAGTCTAGCTTTGCTCCAGATCCTTAGCAGCCTCCTTCCCAGCTCCAGCATTACCTAGTTTAAGATCCTCAGGCTGGGGGCAAGTGCAGGGGTGGGTGCCAGGAAAGTCTGATGGGGAGAGCCTGTGGTCATGGCACAGGAAGTCCCTCAGATGGAAACAAGAGATTGTCTCACAGGGGAACGGAAAGAGCTATGAAGCAAGAGACAAGGTTGTTAACAGTCCCAGGAACCCAGGACGGTTCTACAGGGCAGCTGCGCCTGTCACCAGGTGCCACCAACCCAGGACCTTCCAGAGGTGAGATCTGGGATGGGGTGAGTGTGGGGAAAGTGGGCAATCCCTGTCTGGCTTCTATGCCCAGGGCATAAGGGTCCGAGCACTGGTGCTCGGGCATTTGGGGTCACCTGCATGGTCTCTTGCAGGGCAGGGAGGGCGCCTGAGTGGGAGACTTGAATGGCCTGGGGCAGGGCGCCCCACTCAGAACTGCGTTTACCCATCAGTGAGGTGGGAGGAGCAAGGTTGAGGCCCGGAGGTAGTCTCTCAGGCCCACCGCTCCGACATGTCACAGCTGAGGCAGTGTTCCCTGCCTTCAGAGGGAGGCGATGGTAGAGATGGGGGTTCCTAGGGATCTCGGCAGACTCTGCAAGGGCCTGTCCACTTCCCCGTGGGCTCCTTTTGCCATGCCTGGCCCCAAACCTCATGCATGTACACACCTCATGCGTGCACCACTGCAACAGAGGGGGCCAGGGGCAGCACTGGCCGAGGCACCAGCTGCCTTTTTGTCCCAGGGTCACGCAAAAACACTGGTGTCCTGCATAGCTCAAAGGGCACTGCCCAAGCCCAAATGTCAGCTGAAGTGGGCAATGGGAGCTATGTTGGTCCCCACCATCCGGGGGATCCCTGAAAGCAATGCCAAGGGGACCCCACAGTTCACAACATTGTTATAGGGAGGGAGCTGACTTCCTTTCCTTGTGGGGCCCTGGCAGGCTCAACAACACAGAACCCTACTCCAACACAGAAGACTCTGCCCCTGGTGGTTTGGTTCTGGAAGCTTCTGCACTGGATTTCTTTTCTCATTGCTTCATGCATGCTGTCCCTCTCGTGGGAATAGTGCGACCCTGCAAAGGGCAAGGACATGAGGGACTGGGTCTCAAGAGAAAAGACCCCCACACAGGTCTGCTGTGCTCTGAACTTGCTAGAGTTAGATCTTGTTGGTATTGGAGTTGGACCAACTTGGCTTGTTGGTGGACTCAGGCAGAATTCACCCTTGCCAGTGCCCTCCCCAGCCACGCACTCTCTGCCAGGCCTGGCTGCAAGTGCCTCACACTGCTGATACCACCAGCACATCTGACAGCTGCAGCCAGCTGCTCTAGGCATCTTCGGTAGAGCCGGGAACAGAATCACTCCCTATTTGTGTGAGGCTTATACCAGGGGACGTCAAGAAGTTTATGAAAAATATGCCTTAGGAAAAATTGGGCATGGATTTCAACCTTTTTATGCCAAAAGAAACATCTTAAATAAATATTTATTTATTTGAAAGGCAGAGTTACAGAAAGAGAGAAAGGCAGAGTAAGAGAGAGATCATCCACCCACTGGTTCGCTCCCCAGATGGGCTGAACTAAGCTGAAGCCAGATCTGGATCTCCCGTATGGGTGCAGGAGATCAATCACTAGGACCATCTTTGGCTACTTTCCCAGGCACATTAGCAGGGAGCTGGATCGGAAGTGGAGCAGCTAGGAGTTGAACCAATGTGGGATGCCTGGGTCACAGGTGGTGGTTTAGCCTGCCATGCCACACTGTCAACATCAATATTTAAAAAAAAATTATTTATTTGAAAGTTAGATGGAGGGAGAGAGAGAGAGGGAGATTATTTATTTGATAGTTCACTTTTCAGGTGCCCACAGCATCCAGAGCTGGGCCAGGTAAAGTCAGAAGTCAAGAAATGTATCTGGGTTTGCACCCCTCTCTTGGGGCCTGCTGGTCCACATCTCCAAGGTCAGGAGAGTGGGACTGACCCTCTTGCGGCAGGTGCCTGTCAGCCATGGAAGGGTCCCACAGTCATGGAGGGAACAGCTTCCTTCCTTGGTGGTGGGGGCAAGGTGAATGAGGTTGAATGATGGTTCCCCGGGTAGGGACCAAAGTGGCCCAAGGAAGGTGAAGCCTTGTCCCCATCCCATGGCACAATGAGGGACAGTGTGAAGGTGTTGGGAGAGCCGGTGGGGGACTTCAGCAGCCAACTCACTCTTTCTTCCAGCTTTTTAGTAAGAGCGTTTTGCAATCCCCAGAGTAGCCAATAGCACAGGGCGTGCTGCTGAGCGGCTGGCTACCATTGTATCTCCTTGCTTTCTTCCTCCACATGCGCACACACACACACACACACACACGCACACACAGTACAATTACATGCACGCACGTATATGCTCACATGCAAACACGTGTGCACACCTACATACCATCACATGCACACACTTGCGCTTTCTGTCTACTGCAGGCATAAGTGTATCCTGAGCTGCTCCGCCACGCGTCTCTCAGACACAAAGGTTCTGCTCTGTGGTCTCAATACCCCGATTCCAGGTTGTTCACCCTCACTAATGTGTCACCCAGTGGTGCCTGGAGAAGGCCTTCTCTCTCCGTCATCCCATGTGAGCACTTCGATCAGGCATGTGCTCCTACAATAACAAACTCCCCCACTGTGGGAGACCCAGTTGGAGCCCCAGGCAGCTTGGCTGTTATGGGCATTTGGGGAAGGAACTAGCAGATCTCTCTCCTCTCTGTCTCTCTGCCTTTCAAGTAAGTAAAAAACAAGCAGATAAAAATCAAAAAAGCAAACCAACTGCCATGACAATGGCATTAAACCAGTCACGAGGGCTGTCTTCCAGTGAGGGGCCAGCTGCAGCTCACCAAGGGCTGTGAGGGTGCTAGGATGGGGAAGATGACGCTGGAGCACCCCTTGGGGGCTGGTTGCTGGCTGTGCGTGGGACAAGGAGCAGAGAAAGATGTGCGGGGTTGGGGTGGTTTGCAGCTGGGATGCAAGAGGCTGCGGTGGAGGATCCCTTACCCGAAGGTGAGTGTCAGTTGCTGCGATACAGTCAGGAGCTGGTGGGGCCATAAAGGAGGAATGACCCAGGACACTGCTCTGGCCTGGCAAATAACAGGTGCAGGGTTACAGAGGAGCCACCTTCAGAGTACTGTGTGCAAAGAGTGTCCCAGGCAGGGCAAAGACGCCCTGTAGGATGTCTCAGATGAGGTGGTGGGCTGGGCTGGGCTGGGGGAGGAGCTTGCAGGACATTGCGGCCAGGCATCTACACCCATGGCGGGTCCCAGTGGGTGACAGAGAGCCACCGGGGGGGGGGTTTGGGCTCTGTTTGGTGACACAGTGCCCCCACCCTGCTCCTCTGTCCCCAGGTTCAGGGCACCATGGAGAGCGGACAGAGAACATCCCGAAAGAGCCGCAAGCTGGGCTCCAGTCGCCGGCAGCAGATGCGAGAGCCAGCCGATGGTCAGGATGCTCCCATGGCCCAGGAGCCTGTGTCCTGGTCCTCTCAGGCTCAGGAAGAGCTGCAGGCTTTTCTCCAGGACTGTGGGGCCAAGGACAGGAGGTTTGTCACCCGCCAAGACCTGGAGGTGAGCACCCCCGGATTCCCATTCTGCCACCTCCTGATGCTCCTTGTCCAGGAAGGTAGAGCTTCCTGTCTGCCTTATTTCCATCCCTTTCTCCCGGGTAGAACTTACTCTCAGGAAAGGCTGGAGATGTGTTTATACTAGCATGTAAATGACTGATGTGACTTTCACGTGTAACAAAGGAATGAACTTTAAGGCAAGCAAATGACTCCCAGATGATGTAGTTTTGGGTCCTTTGAGCAGAGAAGTTTATGTTGGAGAGCAGTAAGAGCCCTGGAAAGTGAACTATGTCGTTGACTGTAAACTTCAAATATAAGATCTTGGTGACGACTTAATCCTGCAGTGAACACCCTGGTTAACCCTCACATCCCAGGACAGACTAGCACGGCTTGGTACCCAGCTCTGGCTCCAGCTTCCTGCTGGTGCAGGCTGTGGGAGGCAGCAGGGAAAGTTTCAGGAGCTGGGTTCCTGCCACTTGTGTGGGAGACGTGGAGGGATCTCCCAGCTCTAGGTTCCAGCCCCAGCCAAGGCCTGGCCACGGCAGGAATCCAGGGTATGAATCGGCGGATGAGCACTCTCTTTCTCTAGTTGTCCCTCTGCTGGTCAAATACATTTTGAAAAATTATAACAGGGTTGGCACTGTAGCGTAGCATGCTAAACCTCCACCCACATGGCCGCTAGTTCGTGTCCTGGCTACCACTTGTGATCCAGCTCCCTGCTTGTAGGCTGGGAAAGCAGCAGAGGATGGCCCAGGTTTCTTTGTAACTCTGCATTTCAAAGGAATAAGTAAATCTTTATGAAAATTTTTAAAAAGTAAAATAAAAGAAATCCAGGATCAGGCGTGGTGATGTGTCCCAGCGAGGAGCCTTGGGCTGCGGTCGAGATTGGCCGTGCTGTTGTCTAACTTGTCCTCACTCGTGACTCATGAGGGAGCCTTCCGCTGCTCTGGCTTGGTCAGGAGTGCATTTGCGAGGCTGCTGTATTTCCAGGCAAGCGGAACATGTTGGGCTAAGACGTCTGGGTTCAGTTTTCAAAATGGCTGCGGGCCAGCAGGCCGTAAATCTTTGGGGGTTATCTGCTCTGCCAGACAAATATTCTTTTCATGGCTCCTAGACAAAAATGTGCAAGTTAACAAGTAACTTCAGTACGTCTGGGACTTTTAATTAAAGGTAAACTTGACCCGAACAAAGTCCATCTCCCACTGTCTACACAAGGCCAGGCGAGCCTCCTGACTGTATTCCTACGCTGGCTACTTCTCTGCCTTTTTCCAAATTTCAGAGTGTTTTTCTGTGATGAGAAATCATCTTCGGAGTTCTTTCCTTGACCTATAAAAGGTAGATCTTCCTAGTTTTTGGCTTGATGGTCTCCACAGTTACAGTCAGAGTAGAAACCAAATGTGTGGGCCTCAGCAAGTTGAGACTTGCAATATTGAACTGTTCCAGCTCTGTCCAGAAGTTTTCATATGCAATCTTAAGTTGGAGGTTGTTTTTTTTTTTTTTTTTTTTAATGTTGATTTATCTGAAGGGCAGGGTGATGGAGAGAGGAGGAGACAGAACTTCTACCCACTGGCCCACACCCCACATGGCCACAGCAGTCTGCACTGCTCCAGACCAAAGCCGGGAGGCAAGAACTCTATCCAGGCCTCCTCTGTGGATGGCAGGAGCCCAAGTACTTGAGGCGCTGTTTGCTACTTTTCAAGCACCTTAGCAAAGAGTTGGATCAGAAGCCATGTAGCTGAAACTCTAACTGGCACTCTGAATGTTAAATGCAAGTATGGGGCCTGGCATGGTGGCTTAGTGGCTAAGTCCTGGTCTTGAATGCACCGGGATCCTATATGGACACAAGTTCTAATCCTGGCAGCTCCACTTCATATCCAGCCCCCTGCTTGTGGCCTGGGAAAGCAGCCGAGGACGGCTCAAAGCCTTGGGACCCTGCACCCACGTGAAAGACCCAGAAGAGGCTCCTGGCTCTGGATCGGCTCAGCATCGGCCGTTGCGGTCACTTGGGGAGTGAATCATTGGACATAAGATCTTCCTTTCTGTCTCTCCTCTTCTCTCTATATATCTGATTTTGCAATGAAAAATAAACAATTCTTTTTAAAAAAATGCAATATGGCAAGCAGTGGATTAACTCTTGGTGCCACAATGCAGGCCCCAGATTGGCTTTTTTTCAAACCATTGAAATAATAATTTTATTTTTTCAGTGAATCACCAACTGTCCCAGGGCTCAAAGAACTGAAGAGTTACCTGGAACATGGGCCACTCAGTGCTAACACTGGGGAAGTCCTGGGCAGACTGGGATGAGTTGCATTTATTCCAAGGTTAGAAAACCAAGCCCACGCCAGGGTCAGCAGCCAGCAGCCAGCGGATGTCACCTGTAACCTCTCACTTCCCTAGGGACTGGATTTCCCTAAGGTTCCCCTTCTGCCAGGAAGTGACCTTCCTGTAGTGCTTTTATTGAAGTTGGTCACACAAATGTTTCTCCTGGGGTAGGACACCAGGTGACATGTATCCTTCCTGTTGACAAGAGTATAATTTGTTACACGGGCCTTGTGAAGCGCCTGTGTTCGGGCCCAGGAGTGCCAAGAAGTCTGTCCCCAAGCTGGGGCTGACCGTCCTCTGCCACAATAAGGCAAGCGTGGTTGGTGGGACCAGGGGACGGCTCTGAGTTAGTCTTTCTCCATGGAAGACACGAGCTGTGATCCACACTTGTGACAGAGCGTCCATGGAACTGCCAGGCAGCAGCAGAAACCTGTTTATTGTGGCAGTTAACGCTCCTCAGAACGGGGAGCTGGTAACGTTCTCTTCTTGGGCCCCCATGTGAAATGATCATCTAGGGGTTCAGCCAGGGGCTCCCCACTGCAGACAAGATCGTGTGGCCAATGGTCAAGGTGTGAGAAATCTCCAGTGCTTTCTCGTGCAGTATGTGAATGAAGCAGCCGGGATGCCAAGGGGGGTCCATATGGGACGCTGATACTACAGGCTTTAGCTTTACTTGCTAAATCACAGCACCAGCCCCCCCCCCATCCCTTCCCCACCCAAAAGTTTATAATAGCAACATTTTGCCCAAGCAAACGTTAGCCTGGGAAAAGCTGAGTAAACCTCCTGGCTTGCCCCACCCTCTCCCATAACTGCATTGAGGGATTTAATACGGACAAAGGTGTTTTTATTTGTCTTTTTTTTTTCTTCTATAATTGATCAGATATCATGCAGTGGCAAAATAATAATAATAAAAAAAAAGTTGTCAGAGAAGATCTAAGCTCTAGATTAAGACAGGACCGTGGGAGCCCAGGCAACAGTGCTTGGTTATCTGTATAATCAAAACGACAATAAATGTGGTGTTTTGAAATAAACATAGGAGGTAATAGGGTTGCAAGACTATCTATAGCTCTTTCATAAGGAGCTGTCTTTGCTTTTTTTTAAAATTAGGGTGTGATAAGATCAAAACAAAGCTGAGAAAATTATTGTTACCTGTGCAGCTCACCCAGGAGCTAAACAGAAACTTTCCTGTAACCCTTGCAAAGAGTGCTAGGACCTACACACCATTTTAATGGAGATAAAGCCAGGTGCGCTTCTTCTTCTTTTTTAAAGATTTATTTGCTTTATTATAAAGTCATATATATGTATGTATATATATGTATGTGTGTGTATATGTATATATATATATATAGAGAGAGAGAGAGAGAGAGAGGAGAAAAGACAGAGAGGAAGATCTTCCGTCCACTGATTCACTTTAATGAACTTTAACGAACTCTTTGAAGACCCCTTTTATGCATGAATTTCAATTTTTTTTCCATTGAAGCAAAGTTATATTTTAATTCTACTTTCCAATAAGTTTATGTATTTGAGAGGTAGAGAGAGAGTGAGCTGCCATGTACTGGTTCACTCCCCAGATGGCTGTGATGTTTGGACCAAAGCTGGGCTAGGACTAAAAGCTGGAATCAAAGTCAAGAACTGAATCCAGGTCTCCGAAGTGATGGGTGGCAGGAAGCCAATGACTTGAGTTGTTGTCAATGCCTGCTGAGGCTTACATTAGCAGGAAGCTGGAGTCAGAAGTGGGCATGAAATACAGTAGTCCCTATATGGATTGTGGCTTTTTAAAAAAAATTATTTTTGTTAGACATACAGATTTACAGAGGGAGACCCGCCAACAATTAGTTCACTCCCCAAATGGCTTCAATGGCCTGAGCTGGTCTGAAGCCAAGAACTTCTTGGTCTCCCATGGGTGTGGCAGGGGTGCAAGGACACGGGCCATTATCTAGTACTTTCTCAGGCACACAAGCAGAGAACTGGATAGGAAGTGGAGCAGCCAGGACTCAAACCAGAGCCCATATGGGATGTCAGCCCTGCGTGACAGCTTTAGTCACTTATACAGTGCCAGCTCCACTAACTCTTCATTTTGCATCTTACAGAGCTCCCCGAGTAGACCATAACATCAAGTCCTCCATCATTACTGCCTCTCGTGCGAAATAATCACTCAGTCATGAGCCATCAAGATTAGAGATGCAACACCAGCAAGCAGGGAAGATAGGGAAAGTAGAGGGATGGGGAACAGGCAAATTAAATTCCTATTCCATGTGGGATTCCCTCTGAGAGCCAAGGGCAGGGCTGCAAAGGGCCCCCCAGGTTCACTTGACCTACCAGCTACAGAGTGTACTGGTCCACAGACGTTGTAAGAATCATGAGAACTGGGCCCAGCACTGTGGCCTAGCAGCTAAAGTTCTCACCTTGAATGCACAAGGATGCCATAAAGCCTCCGGTTCTAATCCCAGTGGCCCCACTTCCCATCCAGCTCCCTGCTTGTGGCCTGGGAAAGCAGCCGAGGATGGCCCAAAACCTTGGGATCCTGCACCATTGCGGCCACTTGGGGAGTAAATCAGTGGACAGATTTTCCTCTCTGTCTCTCCTCCTCTCTGTATATCTGACTTTGCAATAAAAATAAAATAAATCTTAAAAAAAAAAAAAAAGAATCATGAGCGCTTCCAGAGAGGATAATCGTGACTTGGAAGCCACACAAAACAAGCTGGTTATGGAAGACTTTATGTTACTCATTTATTAATGGGGCATGTTATGAAAAATTCAAAGAATGTTTAAAGCCATGAAGCTTTAAAAAGGAATGTTAGAATGCTGACCTAGATTTGAAAAAGCAGGAGCGGGCATTTGGCACAAAGTGATTTGGATGCTTAGGCGTTCAGAGCCCCAGCTTCCACCTGCTAATGCACACCCTGAGAGGCAACAGATGATGGCTCAAGTGCCTGGACCCCCTGCCACCCACGTGCGAGACCCACATGGAATTCCAGGCTTCTTCCTGGCTTCAGCTAGGCCCAGCCCTGGCTGTTGCTGTCATCTGGGGAATGAACCAGCAAGCGGAAGGTCTTGCTCCAACAGTCTCTCAGCCTCTCTACCCAGCAGAGGAAGTGAAGATGAAGAAATTATTTTTTGAAACAATCTAAATGTTTAGAAGCTGGTTCGTGTCTAACAAGCCTCAGATCTTTGGAGTCACCTGTTGTGTTAGCATGCAATGATTGGCGGCCCCTGTAGAGACTGTCCACAGGGAACAGGTGCATTCTGTCCACTCAGGCGAGGAGATGAGCGTGTATGTGAGATCAAAAGGTGACTCCAGCCCCCGTGGCATGCTGGGAGACACAAGTTCCCCCTTTCCACTCATTTTTCAAGTGTCAGGTGGTTAGTAGACCCTGGGAGGATTAGCTGTTGTTCTTTACCAAGATCCTAAGAAGCTAGGATTCAGGACAGATGTGCTCGGATATTGTAGGGAGTAAGGATCAAGGCCTGGAGCCAGCTTAGGGCTCTGCGGAGCGAAGAGGAGCCCTGTGGTGTGCATTGGGGCAGTCACTGTGGGAAGAGGGGAGGCAGGCATGACTGCGGACAGCCATGTGGGCCCAGAGCTGCAGGAACAGCTGCCCACTCACTTCTTCCTTCCAGGCGGCCAAGTTCAGCTTCCTGGGCAGCAACGAGGAGCTGGAGATGATCTTTGACTGGGTGGACGTGGAACGGAAGGGACGCCTCTCCCTGGAAGAATTCAACACCGGACTCAGTATGTGCATCCGGAGGAGTGCCTCTGGGACATCCATCCCAGTGTGCCCAGCCTGGAGTGTGCCCAACTGATGGGCCAGGCAGCCAGGGAAGCTCTGTGGGCTCCCCGAGTACTCCCTCCTCCAGAAAGGCCTCCAGTCTTGTTCTCTGCTCCTCCTTCATCTTCTCTCCAAGAAAGGGCTTCCCTTGTGTGACAGCTGGCACTTTTCCCTTTCTTGGGGCCACAGGAGAAGGCTCACACGTGGACTTGGGGTGCGGAAACTACAGGCCCCCTGGCTGAGCCCCCATACCTGCCCTGACATCCTCTTTATGTCATCAGCTGCTCCACCTCATGGGGGAGATCCACTTACCTAGGGAGGGAAGGAGAGTGTCCCTGCAGGACCCACGAAGCCAGAGTCTGCCAAAGGTTGCAGACAGCAGAGGGGGAGGCCAGGAATCTGCATTTGTGATCTGGGGCCACCCCAGGTGGCAATGACTCCAGTGCCGGGGGTTGTCAGGAGCAAGGGTCAGGGCCTGGGATTGCAGAGGAGGGGGCATCTCTACAGCTGGATCCAGTGGTGCCTACCACCACCTGGGATCAAAGGTTCCCACCTTCCTAGGGTAGGGAGGGCCCATGTCTTCCAGTCTCTGCTAACCCCTGGGTTTCCCTCCATGCCACATGCCCCTCTGTCTTGCCAGCCTGGTTCCTTCCTCAAGGCCTTTGTTTATGCTGTTTCCTCTGCCTGGAAGGCCACAGGGTTTGCTCCTTGCTTTTCACTTTTCAGATCCATCCTACCTGAGGCATAGCCTCCCCAGGTTCTCAGTGGAGGCCTCTCTGTGCCTTTAATCCAACCAGGAAATTTGCTTTAAAAAAAAAAAAAAAAACAAAGGTATGCTGGGACTGGTACATTGATGTAACCAGCTAATCCTCTGCCTGCAGTGTCAGTATCCCATATGGGTGCCAGGTCAAGTCATGGCTGCTCCACATGCTGTCCTCCTCTGTCCCACAGAAAGCATCTTTGGCTCCAGCCTGAGCACCCACAGGCTCAGGAGAAGACGGCCACGGCCCACGAAGAGGGTGCCCACAGCCAACAGCTTCCTGGAGCTAGAAGAGGCCAACGCAGAAGAGAGGGAGGCCTTCCTGGCATTTGTGGAGCAGCTGGGGACCAGCCCCTTTCTTCCTGAGTGAGGCCCATGCACTGTTGGGACAGGGGAGGCCCCAGCCACTACTGAGGCAGGACTGTCCTGGGCCTGGGGCCCACTGGTCATGCTACAGGGCAGGGCCAAGTACAAACCCCAGCATGGCTATTGGGCAACTATGAGACCTACCCCCAGCCAATGTTCTTACCTCTGATCTCTGCTCCCCACTGTAGGAAAAACGCAAAAACCCTTGTGGGACTAGAGACCAGTGCAGAGGATGCCTATTCCACCTTGTCCTGCAAGCTGGAGCATCAGTCGCCCAAGCATGCTCATGTTCTTGGAACCATATGGTCCCTAGAGACGCCTTTCTGAGCTCAAAAAGAGGTCCCGGGGGGACTTCAGGCAAGGTGGCTCCTAGACAGGGCAGGTGCAGAGGTCAGAGGGCATTCTCTCCTATTTGTCTCTGCCATGGGCTTAGGGGCTTGCTACCACTCTCTTGCCTGCTGAGGGCTCCTCTACATCTCCAGACCCCCAGGGAAGCCACCCTCAGCTCACCCCACCCTCTTGGACAAGGGCTCTCAGAGGATGGACTGGCAGGGTGAGACTCAAGTTGTAGGCTGAGACAGGGGATGGGAGCCAGGCACCCCCCAGGCAGCCTGGTCTGGGCTCAGCCCCTGGCATCCACCTCTGGGACTTGGTTGAATCTATGTAAAAGCAGGGCTCTTGACTCTGTTTCCTGCCCTGCCCACTGCACTCGCCACCTGGACCATGACCCTGCTCATGCACCCCTTCCCAGGCAGGTGGAGATCTGGCAGCTGTGGAGGAGGCTCCGGCAGGAGGAGCCCCAGCTGGCGGGCAACCTGGAGGGCTTCCTGGCCAGGATGAACAGCCGCCTGCAGGAGGCCCAGGCCAACAAGGAGGCACTGGAGCAGACCCTGAGGAAGTGAGTGAGGGTGTTGGACCCCAGGAGGAGCAACATTAGGGCAGGGCTGAGCTGAAGGAAGAGAGGATTCCAGGGACTCATGGGCAGGACCCAAATGGTCCTTTAGTGAAAGTGGGTTGTGCAGGGCCATCGAGGCATCCAGCTCAGGGACACTGCTTATATGTGGTGGCCCTGGAGTGGGGTAGGACATAGTCCGTGAGGGTATGACAGCACCTGGGGTGTCACTATAGTGATGATCAGAGTGGTGGGATTGGGGTCACCCTTACCAAGGGTGCCAGGGGTCAGGGCAGTGGGATGAGCTCCAGCTCCAGGCTGCCTAGTCCCTGCCTCCCGCCCTGCCTAGGCGCGACTCTGACCACCACCAGGAGGTGCGGCGGCTCTACGAGGAGATGGAACAGCAGATCGCACAAGACAGACAGCAGCTGCAGGCCGAGGTGGGCTCCCCCCACCCCCCGTGCCAGCCTCACCCTGCCAGGCTCCCCACAGAGGTGGGGTAGGAGTTGAGCACCTCCTTGCCATGGTCCCCAGAGTCGGCCTTCCCTGTCTCTGGACCGCAGACTTCTGCCGAATGTAGGAGCGAGCAGTCCTCAGGCCGTCCTCACTGGGTTCTCCTGGCACCTGTTCCCCGGGGGCCTGGGTGGAGGTGGCAGGTGGGGAGAGCAGCAAAGTGTTCAGGGCAAGGCTGAGCCCGTCTGTTCCACAGAGCGACTCGCGTGGCCTGGCCCTCAGCTCCCAGGTGCAGGATGAGCTGATGGCCAAGGAGTGTGAGGCCCAGCGGCTGGCTGCCAGCCACAGGGAGGTGAGTGCCAGAGCAATGGGGGTCCCTGGAGGGGGCAGAGGACAGACTGGATCCCCTATGAGAACAACACCCACACCCCGCCCCCAGGGAACAGGTATCAGAGGCCCTCAAGACCGAATAGCGTGGCTGGGATCCCTGGGGCCACTCTTGCTCATCCAGTGGGAGTCATACGGGGCCCCTGACCTCTGTCCACCTGGCCAAAGGAAGAAAGAGCCTGGGAAACAGCATGGAGATCATGCAGGGCCTGGGGGACCTTGTGGGAGCCCTGCCTGTCACCTGCTCTGTGCTCTGGGATCTGGTCAGAACCCCAGGAAGAGCAGCTGGTGCAGGGCCTGGTTGAGCTTCTCCCACAGACCCCTTCTTCCTCCTCCCAGGTGGGAGGCAAAATGCCAGCTGGGCCTCCTAACCCTGGGCTTTCAGCCAGGTCTCCAGGAGCCTGGGGGTGTGGCGTGTGGAACCATGTCCCACAATGGCCTTGAGTGGCTTTTGTGGTCTCGGAGGGCAAGGGGCCCACTCCTGCTCCCCACCCTGCCCCTAGCTAGAAGCCCAGCTCCAGCATCTTAGCAGCTCACAGCAGGAAGCCCATGCGGAGAACCTGCAGCTTCGGGAGGCTGAGCGGGAACTGGCTGGGCGGCTGGAGGAGGTGCAGGGGCAGCTGCAGGTGACAAAGGGCCACCTTGCCACTGCCAGGGCCCGAGTGTCCTGGCAGACGGAGGAAGAACCCAGGCAAGTACAGTCACTTCAGGCTCAGGGTTGGGACGAGGAGTTTGCTGGAACCAGGGGAGAGGGGCACTCTGTTCTCAGAGGACATTCGGTGGCATGGGGTACAGAGACTGATTCCTCACACCTCACAGGAACCCTGCCAAGTTGGGGGACCAGGCCCACTTGTCAGATGGGGAAACTGAGAAAACAGAAAAGGGAAAGACCAGGATGCAAGGTCCCACATCGAGGAATCCCACATACATGCACGCATGTGCGCACACACCCTTAGTCGGCTTGTGTAGGTTCAGAGGTGTGGGTGGGGCCACCATGGTAGGGCTTGAGTGAGACAGGATTGGACAGCCAGGTGGGAGGGGGCGGTAAGTCAGGTGACAAGGGTGTCCCAGAGGAGGCTCTGTAGGGGCAGAGGAAGGCGGGGACCCGCAGCCATGGTGACACATTGCACCTGCTCTTCTTTTCTTTCATGTCGCTACTTCGTTTCCAGAGTCCTCAGCGCAAAGGAAAAGGCTCTCCTCACCCCAGAGGAGGCCCCCCTGCCTGAGATATTGGGGGATAATGATAATGACTGGGCTGAGCTGCTGAGCCGCTTCTGCAGCCCCTCCCACGGAGCCCTGCAGCTCACATGGAGCCCACCCCCAACCCCCAGAGCCACCTTGGACTCCCCGCCGCCCCGCGTGGTCAGGCAGATTTCCATCTCAGAGTCCTGCACCTTGCCCTTGGCTCAGAAGCCAGTTGCAGGTCCAGATGAGGATCACAGGAACACACCTGGGATGCCTGCTGGGGCTGAGGGCAAGGATGGGGTGGAGCTGGAGGGGCAGGACGTTGGCCCAGAGCTGCCTGCCAAGCTTCATATCCTGGAGCCCAGGTTCCAGCCAGAGTCCCCAGCCGAGGAGGCCCACCTTCCCAGCGGGGAGTCACGGAGCCCGGTGGTGTCAGCTTTCAAAGCTCGGGTGCCGTTGGAGGAGGAGCCCCCTCCCCAAGCAGGCTTGCCCTCTCCCCAGGCTCTAGTTGGGCCCAGCAAACAGATCCAGGCCTCAGACCCCCATGACCAGGCCCCTGGGCTTACATCTGCTGCAGCCAGGTTGCCCAAGCAAGGAGCGGCCCCTGCTCAGGACCTGCAGGCAATAGGCTTTGAGCCGAACCCAGCATCCCAGAATCTAGGAGAGGAAGTCAGGAAGGAAGGAGAAGACATAAAAAGAGGAGGGGTCCTCAGCTCTATGCAGTCCCTGGAGGCTTCCGGCCCGCCAGCTGGGCCCTGGGAGCAGCTCCCACATGGAGCTCTGCAGGCTTCTCTCCCAGTTCTGGCAGACACAGAATCCCCTGATCCTGGCAAGCTCCCTCCTGCAAGGGGCCCCCCTCCCTCGGCTCCACTAGGGGCCATGCACACCTTCTCCTACATGCCTGAGCTGGGAGCCCGACCCAGTCCCCCAGCAACAGCTGCTCATCAAGAACCATGGCCAGGTTCCTCTCCATCCAAGGAGCCCAGGGCAGAGAGCCATCCTGCAGAGCCAGGAATGGACTCTGAGAGCACTGGCCAGAACCCATCCCCGGGGACCCCCTGGCCAGGTGAGCCTCAGCTGCACCCGGACTGTGTCTTCCACATCATCTTCCTGGGAGATTCCAACGTGGGCAAGACCTCCTTCCTGCACCTGCTGCATCACAACAGCTTTGCTGTCAACCTCTCTGCCACCGTGGGTAAGGGCCCAGCTGGGGAGGATGACGGGAGGCGGAGGACAGCCGGGGGCCGGGGCCAATGCACCGGAGCAGGCCTGGAGCAAGCAAGCAAGTTGAGTGTTCGCCCTGGCCACAGGCCCTGCGGCGGATCATGTTTTATATGGGCTTCATCTGGCTCTTTCACTAATCGTTTCTAATTACAGGTAATTTGCTTTTTCTGCATTGATCTGATTAGCTTCTAATAGGCCACGTCAACAAAGCACCCTGCAATTTGGGGTGCCAGTGTTGGCTGGCAGGGAAAGCAAGCATGTCCCCACCCACACGAGTGCCAGATCAGGGCAGCTCGCCAGCAGCCCCAGGCTGGTCAGCCTGTTTCTGGCAGGAAGCCACCTGGGGCAAGCTGCATGCATGCCTTACCCAGAATGCCTTGGCAGAGTGTGGTGAATGAGGAACCCAGGTGCTCAAGTTCAAATCCCAGCTCTGCCGCTGATCAGGGGCATGAAGCCGGGCAAGTTGGTGGACTCCTCCGAATGCCCATGCTCTCACAGGCGGAGTGGAGACAGCAGCAGCGCCCACTTCCTGGAGTGATATTAGAATGTGCTGACTTCACATGTGTGGAGTTCTTAGAATCCTGTCTGGCACATAGTAAGTGCTAAGGAAGGAAAATGTGACCATGTGAAGCCCCGAGTTTTCCTGTGTACAAGTGTTGGGGCATGCAATCCACAGAGCTGCTGAGAAGCAAGACCTGGGGAGGGGCAAGGACAGTGTGACCGTTACCTTTGTGTTGGGCCAGGCACAGCTGCCAAGGGACCCATGCTGGGCCAGTGGTTCAGTGACAGGTCTCAGATCTCCTCTGCCTGTGCATCCTGGGCTGGAGAGCTGATTAGAAAGGCAGGCATGGCCCGGTGCAGAGCGAGGCCACACCACCATGCATTGCCCAGGCCACCTCATCCTCACCGTTACAGTGCAGCGGGCATCCTCCATGCATGTCTTAGTTCTCCAGAGAGTGGATCCCTTCCTATTTTTATGTAGTAAGAAGCTTCCAGAAAAATTCAAAAGAGGAACTCACAGGGTACACAATCATAAAAAGCCAGGGCTAGTGTGCCATGCCCTGCCAGCCAGCCGGGAGTGTCTGAATCCCAGATATACGCCCAAATCTGTCCCAATCCTGGCTTTGGTTGGCTGTGCCTCTGGTGGCTGTCATCTCTTCTGACATAACCATCACAGAGAGAGAATCTGGCTCCCTCAGCTGGCCTTTACCCACCTGATATCAGCTCCCTGCTTTCCAGCTCTGTGTCGTGGGGAGAGAGGACCTCAGCCAGCCTGTGTGTGAGCACAGGGCTGAGGAGACTAGAGCCAGTGCAGCCAAGGCTGGGGGTGTGGGTACTGTGGCTGTCTGCACTTTACAGGTAAAGTGAACAGAGCACTGAGCACCGAGTTAGCCTTGTCTTACCTGGGCCCCAAAGGGCTTGCTTAAATCCGCAGACTCCCAAGTGGCCCTGTTGGAGCCCGTCTGGGAGACAGGATACCTGAGACCTTTGGAAAACAGGGCAGGAGAGAGAACTAGGTGCCACGGACTTCTGTTTCACCACTCTGCTGGGCTCAGGTTCCAGGGGCAGCTGCCACTCCCAGCTTCCTGGGAGAAGGGTCTCTATTAGTCTGGGCCTGGTCTTGCTGGTGCTAGGAGCCTACCTGGGGCCTGCAGTGCATGCATGGTTTTTCTCCACTCAGCGAGGTGGGAGAAAGCAGCCCCTCTTTAACACTGTCGTTGCCCTGGGATCTCAGTGCGAAGTGGGGGCTGGCAGGATGTATCCACTCCTCAGAACATGTCACCATCCTCTTTTCTTTCTGGGGACGGAGAGGGTCTGGGACTATGGCTGCAGGAGGGGTGGGCTTCAGGGCTGGCGTCCAAGGATATGAGTACTGGCCTCAGCCACACCTACCAGAAGCCAGGCTCAACCTTAACGCCCCAGCATCAGCCTCACAGGTGAGGAAAGGGAGGAAGTGACCTGCCCTGGGTGACGCAACCAGGGCTGGGATGGCCCAGGCGACCATGGCTCCTTCTGCCTCTCCCACTCTGCCTTCCATGGAGAGCGGGTCCACCTGCGGTCTAGTTGGAGGGGAAGATGCAAGCAAAGGAAATTGCAGAAATGATATCATCCAACTTGCATCCTGATTGGCCTGGAGCTAAACATTGTGGAGCTGTCACAACCAGCTCCATATGTCTGGATGGCCTGGAGAGGCTTGGAGAACAGAGGGCACTCCGCTGCCCAAGGCTCAGCCAGGGCTGGGGCTGGGTGTCTCGGGGGATGAGTTGTGGCTGGAAGTCCCAGATGGGGAGCTAGGAGATCTTACCCCATGCTGTATGCATCCTAGGTGTGGATTTCCGGGTGAAAACCCTGCTGGTAGACAACAAATGCTTTGCGCTGCAGCTCTGGGACACGGCTGGCCAGGAGAGGTAATGGGTGTTTCTGTGTCACATGTGTCAGGGAACTAGGCTGAGCCTGAGCTGCAACCCCCTGCAGCAAGGGCAGAGGACAGCCAGGCACACAGGAGACGCTGGCCCTGTGTGGGAATGCCGAGGCAGGACAGTGGGCAGATCCAGAGCCCCCTGGATCTGGAGAACAGAGTGGCCATCGCCTTCCCTTCCCCTCATAGGCAGTAGTGCTCCAAACTCCTCCACTAGAAACCCAGGCTGTGCATGAGCTCAGGCAGGAATGGAGCCTTCTGAAGGGACCACCGCTCTCTACCATGGGACAAGCCCGAGGCTGGCAGCCATTGGCTGAGCCACATGGCAGTGCAAGCACAAGAATGATAGAGGGCACTGTGGAGCAGAGGGAGGTGTCCCCAGGGCAGACACCTTGCTAAAAAAAAAAAAAAAAAAAAAAGTCAGGGCCCTGGGCATTAGCACACATAGTTTATACTGCACACGATGGGCTGTGCAAAATGGGGAAAGGGTATGTGGGTATGTACGTGTGAGTATAAGTGTGTGAGTGAGAGTATAAGAGTGTGAATGGGTGTGTGCCAGAGAGTGTGTGTGTACGGATGAGTGTGTGGATATGAATGTGTGTGACAGAGAAGTCTTCAAAAAGTTCAGGGAGGGGCTGGCACTATGGTGAAGCCAGTTGAGCTGCTGCTTGCAATGCCAGCATTTCACTGGTGCTCTGGTCCAAGTCCCGGCTGCTCCACTTCCAGTCCAGCTCCCTGCTAATGCACCTGGGAAGGCAGTGGGAAATGGCCCAGGTGCTTGGCTTCCTGCCATCCATGTGGGTGACAGATGGAGTTCCTGTTTCCAGCTTTGGCCTGGCCCAGCCCTGGCTGTTGCAGCCATTTGGAGAGAGAACCAGCAGAAAACCTTCTGTCTCTGTTATAGACAAACCTTTAAAAAAAAAATTTATAGAAAATACGTGTAATTAAAAAAAATCATGGATTCCAAAGTGTCCTTTTTCCCCAAGAAAAATAGCCCTCTTCCCATTGTGTTTCCCATGAATGTTTTGAAGTGCCCTTGCATATTCATAAAATACCCGCTGAAGACACAGGTGGGCCTGATTGCCTCTGGGAGTGGATGAGGGGGCCGCAGGACTCGGGGTTGGGGCAGGGCTTTCCCTGGGTGCCTCTGTCTCTGTTTGCAATCTGACCCAGGGGACTGTGAGCAAAAGCTAGGTGGAGAGATGGAATCCACATGCTTGCCCCATCAGGAACATGACTGGAGGGGCACTGGGCACTCCTTGGCCGAGGCCTGGAGGCACCTGGGCCATCTGACACACGCTCTCTGGACAGGTACTTCAGCTTGTCGCGGCAGCTGCTGCGCAAGGCCGACGGCGCTGTACTCATGTATGACGTCACTTCGCACAGTAGCTTCACCCACATCCGCTACTGGCTGGACTGCCTGCAGGTGAGCACCTGCAGCCAGGATTAACCCCACTGTTCAGGGTCAAGGGCAGTCTGTGTCCTGCCCTTCTTTCCTTTTCTCCCAAGCTTCCAAATGCCCAGCAGATCTGACACCAGTAGTACAGGGATGCCACTACCACCTCCTTCAGTCTCCAGATCAAGCTACTTCCTTTGTCCTATGACCATTTATTTCTGTAATGCAGCAGCTCTGTTTATAATACTTTCTTCTTGACCCCTGAGGACCACACGTTGGCAACGCTACGCTAGGGGATAACTCCAAACTTAGTTGGTGGAGTTTGGCAGTGAGTCCTACCGAGCACAGCTGAGGGTAGGAAGTCAGACTTGCTGAGTTCTCTATAGGAGCTTCTAGTCTGATGGGTATAGTGACCCAGCAGGCTAAGCTGCCTTTGCTATGCCAATATCTTGTATCATATGGTTGGTTTGAGTCCTGACTGCTCTCCTTCTGATCCGCCTCCCTGCTAATATGCTTGGGAAGGCAATAGAGGATGGCTCAGGTGCTTTTGCCCCTTCCATCATGTGGGGAACTTGGATGGAGTCCTGAGTCACTGGTTTCCGCGTGGCTTGCTCCTGGGTGTCACAGGCATCTGGGAAGCGAGCCAGCAAATGGAAGATCTGCCCTCTCTCTGTCATTCTGACTTTCAAATACATAAATGTTTTTTTAAAAGAAGAAGAGGAAGCACAATGAGAGAGGATTGGCTTTGAGGTCTGCCAGGACCTAGGTGTGAATTCCAACGCCCCGCCTCCCCCAGCACTGTGATGTTGCATAGTGATGTCATGTCTCCAAACTTCAGTTTTCTGGCTTGTCTCATAGCAGAGTTGTGAGGACTGAGTGACAGAGAGGCTGGCACTCACGTGCTCAGAAGCTGTGGTCATTATCCCCCGTGGGAGTGCTGGGGACAGGGACTGGGCAGGCTGTGCAGCCAAGAGAGGGTTTAGCATAGGTAGAAGAGAGGTAGGAGTCTTCCTGGAAGGCATCCAGGGGAAGGTGTCCTTGAACTTGGCTTTGGAAGGGATGTTTACAGCCAAGAAGAGTGCAGGCTCACTGGAGTGAGGGGCATAGAGCAGGTGTGGCATGAGGGATGTGCTGTGGGTGGGGCCAGCCCTGGCTGGATGGGCCTAGGGTGGGTGTGGCTAAAGGAACCTGTTCTGTGTGCAGGATGCAGGGGCAGATGGGGTGGTCGTCCTTCTCCTGGGAAACAAGATAGACTGCGAGAAGGAGCGGCAGGTGCCCACTGAAGCTGGGCAGCACCTGGCCCAGGTGAGCATGGGAGTCCCTGGCAGGCAGTCCATACTAGGCAGACCCCTCTGGAAAGGGCCAGCAGACAGGGGTCACTCTGGCCTGCACAAGCAGGAAGGATCCACTTGTCCATTCTTGACCACAGCTTTTGGTCAGAGTGGAGGGCAGCTTGGCCACTTCTGCCTCCTGGCCATTTAGGGGAAGGGTGGGTAGAGGAGAGCATTGGATAGCGGCCTTAGACCCAGACCTGAGGCTAGGGTGAAGGGTGTGACATTAAATCTTACTGTTTGAAAGCAAATTCCCACACCAAGTCTCCACCTACACAAAGAGCTTCGCAGAGAACCCCCCATCCAAGCATTTGACCTCTGGTCTCTAATTAACATCCTCCCTTGTAATCTAGTCTCTCTTCAGACTTCCTGGGGAAGATCACATCAAAAGCGGGGCTGCCAGACAGTGGATCCTGTTTGTTTACAAATAAGACTGAGGCACATTCCAGAAAGTCTGCAGAGTAGTAAAAAAGGGGGCAGCAGGGGGTGGACAGGATCCCTCCCTTCTCGGCACTGTGTGCCGTGCTCTGTCCACATCTCTCATTTCTCATAACAGAGCCATCATCATGGGGCTCCCGGGTGGCGGGAAGTCTTCCCCGTCTAGAGTGGCTGCCACAATCCCCATGGGAGCCCAGAGTGCAGAGTCACACCCAGTGTGTAGTCACGCATGTTTACAAGAGCTCAGCCTGCCTGGCACTGTTTACCAAAGAGGGGATGAGCTGTAGTGCCTCACGTGACCGTTGGCTGAGACCTATGTTCTGGAAAAAAATGGAAGGCTGGGGGGCAGGGGGCCGGGCCCTGCTTGCAGAGCAGCTTCCAGCCCAGACAGAGGTGAGGTCAAATCACATGCAGTCGCTGGTGTGCGACTATTTGGAGTTACAAAAACAGTGCTTTCATTCGCTTAAACTTGCTCCTCTCCCTCAGTAAAAAGACTATATAGAACACAATGGAAAGCTGCCTAGAAGCTAACAAGAGTGGCTTCTGTCCTTATGAGGAGTCTTTGAAAAAAGTCCATGAGAATGTGTGTGATGAAACACACACACAGGCACACACACACACATGGATACCAAGTGTTTTTGCACCACAATAAGCTTAGCTCTTTTAGTTCCCCAAGGACTTTTTTTGGAAGCATCTTTATATATGTTTCCATACTTCATCGCCCAGCATTTCTCCCAGCGAGGAACACAGTACAGGAACTGTGGCAGCAGAAGGGCCACTTTGAGGTCGGCTGAGGGAAGTGTTGGGCAGGATTCTGATGGCCAGGACTTTGTCAGCAGGGGCGGCCACTGCTGGCCTTTAATGGATTTCCCTGGGGACTCTGGCTGTCATCGTGGTGCCACGGGTAAAGCCACCACTTGAAACATCCACATTGGTGTCAAACACCAATTTGGGTCCTGGATGCTCTGCTTCCAATCTAGTTTCTGCTAATAGACCTGGGAGAACAGCAGTGGATGGCTCAAGTGCTTGGGTCACTGGTACCCATGTGGGAGACTTACATGGAGTTCCTAACTTCTGGCTTCAGCCTGATCAAGCCCTGGTTATGTGGCCATTTGGGGAATGAACCAGTAGATGGAAAATCTCTCTTTTTTTTAGCCTTTATTTTTTAATTTTGTTTTGTTTATTTTTTATCTTTATTTTTGTTGTTTCTTTTTTTTTTTTTACAGATGTAAGATCTTTTTCCATTTCTTCCTCTCTTTCCATCTCCCATTTTCTCCCTCTTTCTCTCTTCTTCTGTCACCTGCCTTTTAAAAAAGGATTTATTTGAAAGCGAGAGTAACAGAGAAAGAATCTTCTACTTGCCGATATATTCCCCAAATGGCCACAATGAGTGGGACTGGGCCAGGCTGTGGCCAGGAGCCTAGAGCTCCATCGGGGACTCCCCTGGGGGCAGCAGAGGTCCCAGCACTTGGCCATCTTTTGCTGCCTTTGCAGCTGCGCTAGCAGGAAGCTGGATAGAAAGTGGAGCAGGCAGGACTTGAACTGGTGCTTATATGGGATGTTGGCACTATAGGTTACAGCTTCATCCGCTGTACTACAAGGGCCGGCCCTGTCATCTGCCTTCTAAGTTAAAAAAAAAAGATATTTTAAGCCCCTCTCCAAAATCCTGGGTCTCCCTAAAGTGCCTGCACCCTCCCTGTCTGGCCTGCAGGAGCTGGGAGTCTCCTTTGAGGAGTGCAGTGCTGCACTAGGGCACAACATTCTGGAACCCATGGTGAGCCTGGTACGGTAAGTGTTGCCACCCTGCCGCACCCGGAAGCCCTCAGCCCGAGAACCATGAGGGGAGAGAGTGAGAGCACTACCCTGGGGGCCTGCACCTGCATCACCACCATTCTCATGGCTCTGTGGCTCCCTAGCGGCCCTGCCCTCTCTAAGCCTCAGTTTTTTCATCTGTAAAGTGGACTGCAAGAAGTAGCATCTCCTTGCTGTTCTACACCTGCTAGTGACTTCCATGAATTTCAAATCCAATCCAAGTCCCTTGCAGGGGCCTGCCCTGTGCTCCGTAAGCACTTCCCCCACCAAATACACAGGTATCACCACGCTCCAGCCATCAAAAAGGTCCTCCCTGACACCCTCACTCCTGCTCTTCCAGGTCCCATCCCCTGTGTCCATCCCAGCCTTCCAGTTAAACTGTAGTCCTGGACATGTTGCTTTCTTGTTGTCCAGGAGGGCAGAGCCCTGTGTGGCCTAGCCATCCCCCTACCCTGGGGTCTGACACAGGCCAGGTGCTCATGAATGAATGCAATGAGTGCAGAGGAGGAGGGGCTACAGTGGATGAGCTCCCTCGGGGGTTGGGAGAGAGGCCTGATGCCCAGTTGTGACCAGCAGGTCCCTGAAGATGCAGGAGGACCGCCTGAAGCAAACAATGGTGGACATGATCTCTAGGAAGCCACCCAAGAGAGCCGGCTGCTGCTCCTGACTCCGGCCACTCCATCCGGGCTTCCCATCCGTCAGCTCCTGTCCACCAGCTGGAACATTCGGGGATACTACCCTGGAATCAGGACTTGGTCCCCAGGGTGGACCTGCATTGCTCCTGCCCTCCCCACAACGACTTGGTGTAATAAATGGGATCGGGGGGTGGGAGAATTGGAGTGGAGGAGCCATGCAACTTCTTAAGGAAAGGAGAATTCCGGAACCACAGTATGAAGAAGGCTCTGACTATGCAGTTTCCAGGGCAGGTGCATTCTGGGACACACTTGTATTTTCAGCTTATCTGCAGCGCCAACATGTTGCTTGCACAGTAGAGAAACACTGTGGAGCAGGAGGCAGGCCCCCAGATCAGGGCACTGGCTGGCCCCAGGCCACTTGCCCAGGTTGGTACTTCTCAGTTGTGTGGGTCCTGGGCCATTCCCTGGTGGACAGACACAGAGCAGAGAGCCGGAAAGAGCAAGCGGGACCTGGAAGGTCTGTCCAATGTTGGAGGTCTCCCGGTTCCTGTCTCCATCCCACTCTCCATTCTTAAAGGACTGTTCAGTCACAGTGAGCGCTGGGTCACTAAGGCCTTGCACGCAGAGGCCAGGTGGGGCAGAAGCTCACCTCTCAGAGGACACGCCCCACCCACTGCCCATGCCTGGAGTGGCCCCTTCTCTCTCCTGCCATTCAGTCCTGTTTTGTACTGCATGACCTCCAGCAGCATCTTGATTTTCTTACCCCAGAGTTCTCTCCTCCCCAGGACCGTCTCCCCTCTCACCCATGTCCCACCCTGGTCAGCTCTGAGCAGTTTCCAGGCCATAGTGCCTGGAGAGAGAGTCCAGGCAGGGCCCTCTGGCCTGTCCGCCAGCTGTTGCGTCCCAGGGTCCGGCTCAGCATCAACCCTCAGGAAGTGGCTGAGTCACCAGCAAGCTTCTCCCAGCTGTACCTCGAGGGCATCAGCACGGGCTCCAGGGCACATTGGGGGGATTCCTGTGGGACAACTCTCACAGGAGGCAGTGTGACGTGTGGGACGCGTCTAGCTTCTCCCCTCCATGCCAGGTCCCTAAGCTCATCTGTCCCCTAGAATCAGTCGGAATCCTTCAGCAAATGCTCAGTGCTAGGCTAGCCAACTTGCACCCGTGGGGGCAGTTCCCAGGCTGCAGGACTCTGGGACCCCCTGGACGGGGCACTCTGCCTTCTCAAAGCTCTTTCGCACCTACTTTCTCATTTGAACCTCAAATGCAACCTGCCCGTTTCACAGGGTTTGCATTAAAAATTTAAAATATGTAAATGAGTACTTTACAAATGTGTTGGAGAATGAAATTTACAGATAAGTTTATGGTAGCACAATTTATTTTTTAAAATTCATGCATATGCAGGGTCTTTGAAACATTTGGGGGAAAAATGTAAATTATGAAAAAGCTATTTTAAAACTTTTTTTTTCACCCAAACACTTATCTTTTAATTCCATTTTCATGAACTTTTTGGAGTATTGTTATTAAAATATATTTTTACAAACATATGATAAAGATCAATAGATTCATCAAGTAATTCCTGGCAGAAATTTTAGAAATAAAGAACTTACTGGAAACGACATGAAAATAGATTGAATTCCATTTAGTGACAGTTATTGTTGACCTGGTGACATCTGGCTTGTCACCCTGATCCCTTAGGGCTGAGATTTTTTTTTTTTTCTTTTTTTGAAAGACAGATTTATAGAGAAGAGAAACAGAAAGATCTGTCCACTGGTTCATTCCCCAGTGGCCGCAACATATAGAGCTGAGTCGATCTGATGCCAGGAGCCAGGAGTTTCTTCTGGGTCTCTGACACAGGTGCAGAGTCCCAACGTTTGGGCCATTTTCGACTGCTTTCCCAGGCCTCAAGCAGGGAGCGGGTTGGGAAGTGAAGCCACCAGGACACGAACCAGCACCCCTATGGGCTCCCGGTGTGGACCCATTGCTGAGGTTCTATAACTTCCAAGGAGCACTATCAGGACCCGAGTCCATGCAGGTGCTGAGTGAGGCAGGCTCAGCTGTGGCCTGTGTTCTGCACGTATAAGGCTCAGCAGGAGCAGGGGAGGTGGCTGTGGCGATCCCTACATTGTGAGTTTGAAACAGGATGCAGTGCAAGGCCATGTTCTCTGGGTGTTCGCACCCAGAGAATATGGGTTCATCCAGTTGGCACCTGAGCCACGGTTCCAGCTCGTCTTTGCCAGGTTATACAACCTCATCCTGCTGGTGTGGGGCTGCCAGCCAAAGGTTTTCATGCTGCTGCCCATGCTGGGCTGGGGCTTGAGGGAGCACTGCTCATTCCTCGCTGCCTCACGGTGAACACAACGGCGTCTGGTCTGCTGCTCCTGACTTGGTGCTGTTGCATCTGTCGTGGCATAACTGGTGGGTAGGCCCTGCCATGTGCACCACCAGCCAGATCGCCAACATAGCCACCGTGTTCTGCTCCTTGGTAACTGTGGCTGCTAGGCGCTACATGCTATGTGCTGGCTAGCCTGGGTGCACACCTGCTGTTGTGGGTCCTGGGCCTGGCTCTTGCAGCAGGTGGTATTGGACAGGAGGAGCCCCAGGGTCTGGACCTGCATCCCTGACCACACCTTCATCCTGCTGGGAAACCTGCACCCTCCTGCCTTGCACCGTGGGGCTAGGCTGCCCATTCAGCCTTGTGGGCTGGCTTCCGTGGACTCAGCCCTGGGGATTCTGAAGTGGGGACAGTGTTCGCGAGCACCCAGAGAATATGGGTTCATCCAGTTGGCACTGATGTTTGTGTGCTGCTGAGGAGGTCCTGCTCTGTGCTGGGCTGTGTGGTGAGCATGGGTCACCTGCCTGCCACACTGGTGGCTTTCACTGCCCCAGCCCCTGTACTCTCCTAGCCTACTCCAATCGTGCTGTCTTGCTGTCCGCCCTCCTCTGCTTCCACCCCTCACCCCTTCCTGTCAGCACTCAGGAACCTCTTCTGCAAACTCAAACATCCCTGGGGGAGGGAAGGTACCCTCCCACACACAGCACCCAGCGGGGGGTGGGGGAAAGTGTGGAGGCCTTCTGGACTTGGCAGAGGGTCTGAGAGGATAGGCCAAGGGTATGGTTGAGATTTAAGGGGGTGTGAGAGGCCCTTAGGGATACTCCAGCCCCCACCCTCCATGTCATCAGCAAGGAAACTGAAACTCAGCAAGCAGTCCAGCTACAGAGCTCCTCTTTATTCTTAATGTGCTTCCTTTTTTTAACCTGAGATAGCGAGCTCCCACCTGCTGGTTCACTCCTTAAATACCTGTAAAGGCGGGAGCTGGGCCAGGCTGGGCCCGGCTGGGGCATGGAGCCTGGCACTCCATTTGCCTTTAAGCAGCTCCCTCAATCTTCCCCTTCCTCCTTAGGCTACACTATTTGTGTGGACCTTGAGCGAGGCCCTCCCCCTCTCTGTGCCCCATGTTTCCTAGTGTGGAAATGGGGTGATGAGAGTATCTTGTTCACAGTTCTGTAAAGGATTCACTGGATACAGATTTAACGCTCAGCAGCTGCTGTTGCTGTTCATTCAGGGCCATGGTAGGGGAGTGGACAAGAATGGATTTGAGGGGCTTCCAAAGGGTGCAGGGGGGACCTGGGTGCTCAGAGCCTAGGATCCTTCATCCTGGGGAGCCTGGGGACTGGGTGGGGGTCAGGTGGTGGCAGGTGCAGCCTGAGGGGGAGGAGTGCATGCAGCCCCTGTGGAACCTTATGCCCATGTCTCCCTTCCCTTCCTTCCCTGCTCTCCTCACCCCTCCTGGCCTCCGTGCCACCCACTGTGAGGAAAATGGGCTGCTGCCCATGGAGCCAGGACCCCACCCAGTTCCCATTCAGCGTATATCCAGACAAATGCAGGTCACAGGACATCTAATTAGAGGGGCGGCCATGGGCCAGCTATAATTTGCTGGAAAAATCATCAGCAGTCCACAAGTCCCAAACTCTGGCATCATCCGTGCCAGGTTCCCCCGTGAGGGGCAGGTTGGGAAGGGCTGTGGAAGGGCTCGTCTGGGGGCAAATGTGCAGCGAAGAGCGACATGTTCACTTGCCTGTGACCCTGGTCCCTGATGGCCCATCCCAGGGAAGCGGGGCTAAGGGGAAGCTCTGTGGAATCCCAGAGTTGTTGTTTGCCCGTTTGTTTATGAGCCTTCTTAGTTATTTGTGTGTTCACATATGTGTGTGAGAGAGCTCCCCGCATGTACAGGCCTGTGTCCCATTCACTGCTGCATCCCTGGTGCCCTGCATGGAGCTGAGAGCATGGCTCAGCCAATCCCTGCAAAGCGAAAGAAATCAGGGGCGGGGGCATCCCACGAACAGCAACACCTCTACTATGGCTCACGAGACAGAAAGGCAAAGGACTCTCTACTAAAAGAACCAAATTTACTGGAGTTTAAGGCAAGTTCCACACAGAAACTGTCTCAGAGACAGGCACGGGACCAGACAAGGCAGACACACCACCATCATGCACGACAGCGAGGGAAGTGGCCGGGCAGCAGACGGGGTGCGGCCTGGTCTCCACCCAGGCCTGGGGAGACGGGCGGGCCGGGAGCCCCATGCGGCAGGAAGGAGTGGCATGCATGGCTGCTCCCCTCACCCCCACCCTGTGGGTCAAGGCCGGGCGGCTGGGTGGGGCTCAGGGGGAGAGCCCCTCCCTCACCTTTCCCATAGCAGGACCTATGCTCAGGGTTGAATCGACAGAGCCCAAGGCGGAAGGACTGGGGTGGGGTGGGCACGGGCAGTGATGGGATGGGGTGACCCCAGAGCCAAGACAGCCCAGAGTAAGGGTCACATGAAGGGGCAGTGAAATGGGGGCTCTGGACAAGAAGGAACAGACCCTTGGGTTATCAGAGGTGAAGGACACTCATCAAGACATCTGGTCAACCCTCTCACTATACAGATGTGGAAATTGGCTAGGCTGGGTTTCCCACAGCAGGCAGGAAGTGGAGGCAGGGCTGGGACCCAGAGCAAGGAGTGAGAGCAGCACGGGCTGCCCTGGGCAGGATCAAGGCTGTCCACGCCTCCAGGAAGGCCCCTGCCCCACACACTGGGGGCCCTGAGCAGGCTGTGGAGAGTGTCAGGGAGGTGTGGAAGCAGGAGTCCACGCCAGGAGAGGCCTATCTGCTGGGTATCATAGAGGGTTCGTGCCCAGCACAGGCCCACAGTGCGTGGCAGCTACCTCCTTGACACATCCCACTTCACGGATCCCTGCAGGGTCATGTGTTTAGACGTTCCTGCCAACCCATTAGCCCTGGGGTAGGGACAGATGGCACAGGAGGGAGAACAGGGGTTGGAGGAGGAGGTTGAGCCCCGATCCAGAATGGCACTGGTGCTGTCCAGGGCTGGCCTGCCAAAGAGACCTTCTCAGTCCCTGGCTGAGAGTCCCAGGAAGAAAAGAACTGAACCCCAGCACTCCAGGATCCAGCCTGTCACCTGTCCCCGCATTGAGCTGGATGTGAGACAAAGAGCCTGTCCCAGACACACACAAGTCCACGCAACAAATGAGGTGACTGAAGAGGGTCTTGAGTGGGCTCCCCCGGGGCCCCAGTCACCTGCCTGCATCGCCAGGCTCAGATGTTTGTGTGCATCGGAGAGGTGGGGGGTGTGCGGGCTGGGGACTGCGGGGCAGAGTGCTCCGGGGCAGCGGGTGGGGGACGAGGGCGGATGCCCTGAGCCTTCATGTAGGACACCAGCTGGTCAGGGATCTCTGCTAGCACATCGCGGGCCAGGCGGGCCATGCTCAGCACGTGGTTGCCTGTGCGGTCCACGTAGTCTCGGAAGGGCACGAACTGGCAGGCAGAAGGCAGGGTCAGGCAACTCCTTCCACTGGAGACCAACTCCACCCCCACACCCACCCCTACCCCACATCCCCTGCCAGATCCAGGCCTCTGCTTCTGGCCTGTCATGCCAACCTTCTCACACACACACACACACACACACACACACACAGTGCTCCACCCCTTGGAAACCTCCCTGAGGGACTATGCCATAGTCACTCTTCATTCACACGACCAATATACAGGCCCATCAAACAATTCATGGGAAAAAACAATGGAATTCAAGGATAAACTGATGTGGATGCGAAACATTTGAAATGCGTGCATACATTCTTGCTTAAATGGGCATTTTCATGAACTGTTTTGTACCAAACTTAACCATCTTTTCATTCTATAACCCATGAATGGCCTCAAGTGTGTGCAGAGCAGCGACTCCATGCATGCAGCCGGTGCTCAGCACAGGCTGACTCCATCGCTGCCCTGTCTGTTTCTCGGGTCCTTTGTCTCTGTCCTCTTTGGGGCTAATCTGACCGACACCAGGAGCCAGGCTCTGCTGGCTTCCTCCTAGGGGGGCTGCCTCCTACCTGCAGAGGGTCCTGGGCTCAGGCCTGCCTCCAGCTCTTGGCATGGGCCAGTCCCATCACCCAGATCATCCCTGTCCCACTCCCGGGCCCCTGTCTTTGGGTTCCACACCCAGGATGCTCATCTCCAGTGTCTACACCAATGGGGCATGGGTGATGTCAGGGTTTCCTTCTTCAATGAGCCCCAGGGCCTGGGCTGTGCTGCCCCTGAGGACAGCACCAGACTCCGGAATCTGCAACTAGTACCGAGAGGTAGAGGCAATGATTTCATGAGCCCAACCAGGTGCCTGCCCACTTGATGCAGCTATTTCATGGGATGAGGTAGGGCTGGGGGCAGGGGTGCTTCTGGGAACAGAGAATAAGTAGTCCAGGGAAGTCTGGGGATTCTGAGACCTGCTCTGGGAATTGTGGCAGGGTACAATCCAGTCCCTGTGGAGGTGATATGTATGATTGGCGGCAGCCACTGGAGATGAGGCCAGCATGGCCATTGGGGCTCTCACGGGTTCCTGTGGGGCAAGCAGGTCTTGGGCCTCACCTGCACGATGTCCCGTTCAGCCAGCTTCCCTCGGGAGGAGATCCGCACGTCATCACCATCCAGCTCCACCATGGCTGCATGGGGGACACACAGCATGGGGGGTAGGGAGGGGGCATTAATGGCAGATATCTTGGCCTAGTAGCATGGTGGCCTTGTCCTGCAATCCCAGGCCAGAGCAGGGGAGAGACCTCACAGGCCTAGGCTCCTGGGTTATGGCTAAGCAAACTGGGGCCTGGGAGCCTCCAACTTGTGGCTCAGTACTCTGCCCTCCCCAGCTCCCAGGGCTGGGGGCAAAGGGTGTGACCCGGGGCCTCCTCCCCATAGTCCCAGGAGGTGGGCACAGTGCACACCCTGACAAGCCCCTCCCTGTGCAAACATGCATGCCTCCACATCCTGCCAGACAGGTGCACACCCCAGGCAGCAGCTGTCACTCTTTGGGAAGGGTTGTTCCCAGGGTCTGAAGCCTGTGAGAGAGCAGCACCCTATGCAGGGGGACAAACTCACCGTCGAACTCTGCCTGGCCCACGCCGATGATGATGATGGACATGGGGAGTTTGGCAGCCTGGGACCCCGCAAGGGTGGAAACAAGAAAGACAGGGATTGGGAGGAGAGGGACAGACACGGGAGCATACAGGAGGGCGCCCAAAGACCAAGGGAACCAGGGTGGGCCCCAAAAGGGAAGGGGCAGGAGAGAGAGGGCAGAGTGCATGTGGGTCACAGGTGTGCCCCTGTGCACCAATCCACCTTCTCTGCCCTTGGGGTCCCTCTGGTCTGTGGTCCAGAGCACCGGTTCTCTTCATGGGGAGACTATCACTCAGGTGGTAGGGGAGGGCAGCTACACTCCTGTGTCCTCCAGGAACCTGTGTCTGGCTGGAGTCGGAAGTGGCAGTCCCAGAGATGGGGGAAGGGAATGAGCACAGAGCTCCTCAAGCCCAAAACCCCACTGCCTGTCCATCCCAGACTCATGTGAGAAACAAAGGGGAGGTGGGGAATTTGAGGACATGTGGCAAGGGGCGGGTGGGGGATGCAGGGTCACCCCAAAGGGCAGAATCCACCTTTGAGAAGGCCCCATGCCATCTTGGCAACTCACGTTGACAATGGCCTCCTTGGTCTGTGCCATGTCTGAGATGACCCCGTCGGTGATGATGAGCAGCACAGAGTATTGGGAGCCATCCTGTACGGCCGCTGCATTCCTGGGGTGGGCAGCATGGGCTTGGATCAGCCTCGGGGGACCTTCTGGGCCTGTGCATGCCCAGCCCCAGCCCTCTACCCTCAAGGATCCTGCCCGTGGCAGGGGCACCTGGCTACATGGGTGACGACGGGTGCGAAGTTGGTGGGGCCATAGAGCTGCACGGTGCGCAGGCTGCGGTGGTAGGCCTCCAGGATGCCATCGATGCCGCAGCATGAGGGATTCTCCTGGTTGCCATTCTGTGAGCACAGGGCATGGAGAGGCTGAGGCTGCACAGTGGAGTTGGGCTTAGGCCTCTCAACACTTCTCGCTGCACATCTGCTCTTGCCCTGCACCTGCACCTGTACCTCACGGACCCCAGAACCCAGCAGGGAGTCTCCTGCAAGCCCATGGCCCACCTTCCAGTCTTTGCTGGCTCTGAGCAACCTTGGGCCTTGGAGGGGCCTGTGGCTACTCTGTTTCTCTGCAGCCTGTGCTTGGCATGGCACCTGCATTCCCAAGTGTGGGAGGATGCTGCCAACTTGTTGAGACCTTCACAAGAGGGAGAGACGGAGAGGACATATCTGAGGTTTCACCTCCATGCCCAGAGCCTAGGACCCCATGTGACATCAGCTGGGGGCTTCTGAGGCCGGTACAACCACCCACAATCCCGAATTCTTTCCAGTCTCAGACCTGGAGGAAGGCTTTGTGAGTCCTGGTGTAAGCCCCTCCCCATGGCTTACACCCAGGTCGGCTTCCCACTCCAGAGCTCCATCTGAAGTCCATGAGGCCAGAAGTGGGAATGCCCAAGCCCACTCTGGTGCTTGCCCCCATGCCCCTTCCCTAGCCCAGTTCTAGTCAGCTCTTTCTCTTACCAGTGGGAACTCATGGGACACCCTGCCATCCGGGGGCAGCTTGGCCCCGAAGCCCAAGGCGGGGAACATCTTGTCGCTGTCGTAGTGTTGGATGATCTCACCGACGGCGGTCAGTGCCAGGGCGTAGGCATTCAGCTGATAGGGGCTCATGTAGTGCAGGGATGTGGACTGTGAGGGGTTCCCTGTGGCACAAGACAGAGCCTCTTCGGGCAGCTGCCGTCCCCAGGCCACCCCAGGCTCAGAGCCCAGACGGGTGTGTTCACGGTCTTCTACTTCCGTTTCTTCCCTTACCCTTTACCCTGCCCCACATCAATCCATTAGCAAACCCTGGCTGCTGAGAGCTCCCTGGCCTTGGCCTTTGCAGACACCACCATCCTCCTGCCGGATGGGCTGCCCTCAGCACCGTGGTTGGCACCAGGGTCTCTCCCTAAGGAGTACACAGCTCAGCCCTGGCTTAGTTCTCCCTCCAGCCGGGGGTCACAGAGGTGGGATCTAACACCCCTCTCCCAGGGCTCTCTGTGAGCTGAGGCCTGCCCCCAGAGAGCTGGGGCACCCTCCAGGACTGGGCTGCACCTCCAGTAGAGTCAGCGTGTTGGTGTGAGCAGTCACCCTGGGCTGACCTTGCAATCCTAAGGGAGTGGCTCTTCAGTAAGCAGGAAGTCAAAAGCCCAGCCTGACCATGAGATCCCGGACAAGCCATCTCCCACTCCCTGCCCAGTCCCCCCAGCTCACCGTTGGAAGCAGTGAAGTCAATGGCCACGGTGAAGTTGATCTGGGTCCTAGAATAGGGAGAATAGCCAAGGGAGTCACTTTGGAGAGAAGCCAGGCAGTGGCAGTGCCGGGTAGGGCAGGAGGGGCCTGGCTGCCACTCTGGCCTCACCAGCACCCAGGTGAGTGGCCTTGGGAACATCACACATCTGCCACTCTTGGGGAAGTAGGTCATGACACCAGCCAGGCTCTCTTCCAAGGAACTGCTGGGAACGTCAGGAGTAGGGCAGCGTGTGAGTGTTCCAAAGACACTGTGTCTGGTGTGATCACAGACTTGCTCCAAAGCTGGCCCTAGACCTGAGGGTGGCTCAAATTTGGAGTTAGATTCCAGATTAAAATTGGCCAAAAGGGCTTGGCATGATAGCCTAGTGACTAAAGTCCTCGCCTTGCATACATCAGGATCCCATACAGGTACCTGTTTGCATCCTGGCAGCTCCACTTTTCATCCAGCTCCCTGCTTGTAGCCTGGGAAAGCAGTGGAGGACGGCACAAAGCCTTGGGACCCTGTATCCACGTGGGAGACCCTGCAAGGGAGAAGCTCCTGGCTCCTGGCTTTGGATCAGCTTAGCTTCAGCTGTTGCAGCTACTTGGGGAGTGAACCAGAGGATAGAAGATCTTTCTCTCTGTATCTCCTTCTCTCTATAAATCTGCCTTTCCAATAAAAATAAATAAATAAATAAATGAAAACTGGGTCAAAACAGGGACTGGCACTGTGGCATGGCTTCTGCCTGCAATGCCAGCATCCCACACAGGTGCCAGTCAGTGTCCTGAGTACTCTCTGGTCCAGCTCCCTGCTGATGGCGCATGGGGAAAAACCAGAAGGGAGCAGGGCATGTTCTCAGGCTCCTGCACCCACATGGGCGACTTGAAAGAGGTTCCTGGGTTCAGCCTGGTCCAGCCACTTGGAAAGTGAACCAGTAGATGGGAGATCTCTTTCTTTATGTTTCTTTTTCTCAGAATTGGCCTTTCAAATAACTACATGTTTAATTTAAAAAATAAAATAAGCAGCTGTCCAGGTGCTACAAATTCTTTAAAGGAAGCTAAAATGCCACCCATTAAATTGTCTCGCCAAAACAGTGGACCGGAATCTGGCTGAGTCTCCAGGCTCTCTGCCAAGTGTTTACAGGAAATCCAGGGGACAGTGACATCGTGGGGGGTTCAGACGACACAACCCGTCTGGAGGAAACTTTCCAGGAACACTGCCCAGGGATCCTCCCCGGGGGACTAGCTGGGTATCCCAGGCTGCTGCACACACACTTAGCCTGAGTGTCTCCATGGGGTGCAGGAGTCCGTCCTAGCACACACCCTTCCTGTGCTTGGAGAAGCCCGCAGATGAAGAGAGAACTCCGAGGGTCCTGGGCCATGGCCCTTCCTATCCCCACCCCAGGCCCTTGGCTCTCTCAAAGGGTCATCTCCCCTCCAACCCTGTGTCTCATGATGTATCTCAGTGGCTCCCATACTGCAGGGCCCGGGGTAGAGGGCGGCAAGGGAGTTTATTAGAGGAAACTTGTTATAATGAGGGGGCAGGTAGCAGGCAGGCATTTGGCCTGGTAGTTACGGCGCAGGTTGGGGCACCTGCGTCCTGTATCCGAGTCAGTGCGATTAAAACTGCCCCGGGGGGGGGGGGTGCAGTGAGTGATGGGTCAGTGACTGGGAGAACTGAACTTGGCTTCCGGCTCCTGGCTTTGTCCTGGATTAGTCCCTGCTATTGTGGGCATTTGGGGCATGAACAAGCAGACAGGAACACTGTCTGCCTTTCCCTCTGCTACATATATACATTTTAAATTTTTATGTGTGTGTGTGTAAATTCCAGAGTTCCACTCCCAGGAGGCCAGCTGAGTTGCTCTGGGCAGCAGATCTTGGAATCTGCTTCTTGAACAAGCAAGCCCTGCCTTCCTCCCGGGGCTCCAGGACTATTTCAGTGATTCCGAGTGGGAGTTGTGGACAAACTAAGAGGCAGACCTCGCCTCACCCACATCCCCACCAGAGCACACAGCTCCTTCTGCACCTGACCACGGCTGAGCCGGGAAGGTCAGGGACAGGGTTAGCAGGAGAGGTGGGTGGCAGGGTCCTCCAGTAGAGCCAGCCCTTCCTTCAGCCTCTCCCCTCTTCTGCCAGTTAGGACACAGCATTAGGGGGATGGGAGGGGGTGGTCTCCAGGCTCTAAGTGGGACAGAGCCATAGGACAGCAGCAAGAGCTGCTGTCCCCGAGTGCCTGAGTAACTGGGGGTCATCCCTCCCACCCAAACCTGCTTGAGGCTGGGAGAGCCTGATACAGCTGCTGACCTGGGAAGGTGAGAACCTTGCTCAGGGTGGGGTCCATCCTTGGGAGGCTGCAGGAATGCTGAGGGTCCCTACAGTAAACACAAGAGTGGGACTACGCTGGGCTCACCCCTCACCATTCCCTTCCTACTCTGGTCTCTGAAGACACCAGGAAAAAGTTTGAGAAGGCAGCCCAGCTCTCTTCCCTAAGGGCAGAATGCAGGCTGCAGGATGGGCCAATGCTCATGCCCTCTTCCTGGGCCCACGTGGGCAGAGAGAAGCCCTAGACATGCCTGGACATGCACGCAGGCTCTTTGGAGCTTGGGTAGTAGGGGTGGGCCGGGCCCCGGCTTGCACAACACCACCCTTTACATCAGCCAGGCCGCTCTAGCCTTGCGGCGCTGACTGTCCCCCAGCACTTAGCTCCATCTGAGAGCTTGGTCACTATGATGCAGCAGCCCGGCCACCACCCAGGCATGTGGCCCCGGGCAGGCCATGTAGAACGGCCAGTACCGCCCTGCTCTGCCTCTCTCTGCAAGCTGGGAGTGCTATGCAGGTGAAACTCGTGGAAGGGGTGGGGACTTTGTGGACAGAGCAGGGAACAGTGGGGCGGGGCAAGGAGGGGCGAGTCAGGGTGGAGGGAGGGAGGGCGTGTGCTTCCCCCGAGAGCGAGGGAGCTGGCATCCGTGAGACGGTACACGTTCAGGGCGGCAGAGAGCAGAGTCATGGGAAAACGAGTGTGGCCGCCCACGGCCCGACTCATCCCTCTTCTTGGCAGAACCAGGCAGCCAAGCACCGGCCTGGCTGGGCTGAACCTTGGCAGTGGCCCCTGCCTGTCTCCTTTCCAGACAGGTGCAGCAGCTCACCTGCCTGCACCTGTGGGCTCTCAGCCACCCACACCCTGGCCTGGCACCTGTGCTGGCAGTAAGCATGCCAAGTAGGCCCTCATCCCCTCATCTTGGGGCCTGGTTCATTCCAGGAGCTGTTGGTGGCTCCTGGCTTCTCTGCTGTGCCTATGTTGGCCTGGGATTATGTTTCCAGCCCACCCACCCCACCCTCAATCCCACTGCCCCTTCCGGAACCCAGGAAACGCAAAGCAGGTTAATTCCTCTCCCCACCTTACCACCACCAACACACAGAGGTCAGAGACCTGGGAATACACACACACACAGGTCAGAGGTCCTGAGAACTCACCTACCATGACCTCTGTATACACAGGAGGACAAGGACATCAGGGAGGTCAGCTTGCCCCAAGCAACCCAGCAATTCACGCAGAGAGGCCTCCATCATGGGCCTGGCTCCTGGGCCACGGCTCTTCCCACCCTCACTGCCTCCTCGGCTCTCTTAGTTACAGGGTTCCCATCCTGTATTCCCTGCTCCTCTGTGTCTGCCTGGGGACCTGCCATGTCCCAGAGGCCTCCTGGGCCCTGCAGCTCGCTCAGGCCCTCGGGATCCAGGCGGTGCAGGGCTTGGGGCCAGCTGCCAGCTGTCGCAGCTCACAGCCCAGCACCACAGCTTCGGCCAGGGCCTCAAAGGGGAGGTAGAAGTGGGGAGGGCACTGGTCACATGGGTGTGGGGGGCCCCTTCCTCTCCACACTCGGCATTCTTCTCACCCTCCTTTGATGTAGTCCAGGAAGGTACACTCCGACTCCACAGCAAAAGAAAGCAGGGTGACCTTGAAAACAAAAGGGGGCCTGGTCAGTGGAGGGAAGGGTGAGGGGGAGTGCAGGATGTGGAGTGAGTGTTGACACTTACCCAGGAGTCGGTATGAGCCAGCTGGGCTCGCAGGGCCCGGGAGAGCATGTACTATCACCCCCATTTTACAGCCAAGCCAACTGAGGCTTAAAGAGGTGACACAGTGGGGAATTTAACCTAGATGCCAATCTGCAGCCCAAAGAGGGTGATCTCTGTCTCTGGGCTCTGGGGTGCGGTGTGGAAGTGTATGTGTGGGGGTCTTCCGCCAATGGCAACAAGTCCCATGCTGCCACGAGCCATGCACGCTTAGCCCTGGGAGGCGTCTGTAGCCAGCACACACCCACTGTTGCATCACCCCAGAGTCTCTCAGCCTCCACCATCCCACCCCCAGCCCATCCCTGAGTGGTGCGGCCTCTCCCCTCACCGCCACCCCACATAACTGAACCCCTTAGGAACTCTGCTTAAAGTGGAAATCTCTGCTTTTCTACCTCCTCCAGCAGGAGTAGGGAACCAGTTATCCCAGCAGAACTACTACAGAGGTTCAAGCCCCCTCCTGGGGGCAGAATCAGCTTACCAGGGAAGATGCAGGGAGGACTAAGTCCAAGAGCCTGACAGGTGTGTGACTAGCTGGTCTGGGAGAGCCCCCCCGACCGTGTTCCCCACCCTTACCCTGTTAGGCACCTGGCTGATCACAGCTTCCTTCCAGGGGTGACTTCAGCCCTGACTCATGATTCTTACGTCCTCATCCGGGGAGCTTCGTCAGAGATCGTAGTATTTGCTCCCTGCTGCCTCCCACAAAGGCCTCGCTGAGTTGGGGACCTGACTTGTACCAGTCATTTTCCCAATGCCTTGACCAGTGGCTGGCCCAGAGAAGCCCAGAGTCAATATCAGATGAGCTCAGGTGAGAATGTTCTAATGACAGGCCCCTGCAGACCCTGGGGCAAGGTGCCATCCCAGCGTGGTCATGGTTAGGCAGGACCAGATCTGGAGTCCAAGGTGGCGTCTGCCCCGCCCTGACCGTGCCCTTAGCTGTGTGACCATGCTTGAGTCACCTTGTGCTGGCAGCCTGGGTTTCCTCTTTCAGACAAGGGATGAGAAATCTGCCTCTCAAGGAAACCACCTGTGAACAGCACCACGCTGGGCAATTCCCAGGGCAGGGGCCCCAGGAACACCACCCCTTTTCCTCTTCCTCACTGCCGGAAGTCCCCCCGGGCGTTTCTCCATGCAACTCTGTATTCTGTGTCCAGGGCTTGCCGTGTGCAGTCTGCACAGACACTCAGCCTGCTCTCTGCACAGTTGCGCATGCACGCATGTGCAAACACACACACACACACAGCCAGGGAGCTGAAGAATTCACCCCACCCCACCCCCACTACAGAGAGAAGTGTCTACTCACTGTGCCAGAATTCACGTATTTCTTCTTCTTCATTTTCTTTTTTGGATTCACCACCTGATGAAGAAACCAGGTTGCTGTTTCCAGACCATCTGGGCTGTCCCTCAGGGCTTCCCCGATGCCCACACGAGGCCTTAGCCATGGTGGAGCCGGGGGTGGGGGGAGGGGCGGGTGGGCAGGGCAGAGGGAAGTCTGGGGAGAAACCAGTGTTCAGGAACTTGGACCAGGAATATTTCTTTAGCTTTCCTTCCTGCTGTGTTCTGAACCGGCCCTGCTTGCAAGATCAAGAAAGGCTGGTGGTGCCAAGTGGCTCCCTTGGCACCCGCCTGCTGTGTGCCCAGGCTTTTCCCTGTTCTGTTGCTCTCCCTACTCATCCTTTGAGACATGCCACCGCCCGCCCCCCGGTTCCTGTCAGTGACCGCTGTCACCCTGGCTGGCCAGTTACAAACTCCTTAGTTGTCATCTCACTGGGACATTCCTCAGCTCACGCAGAGCCATCTTCAGGGAAGAAAGCACCGGGCTGGCCTAGAGCAGGTGCTCACACAGGCTGAATGGGCCAGCTCTGCGGCGGTGGTGCCCGCTAGGGTCGGTTTTGCCCTCTTAGCAGAGGGGACATTCAGTCATGTCCCAGTTGTTTTGATTGTCACAGCTAGGCGGAAGCGAGTAGAGGACAGGCACCAAGCATGGTCCAGGCCCAAGGGTGGGCAGCACCAAGGTTTTGTATCCCTGAGCCAAAGGAGGTCCTGGGCCCTGGGAGCTCCCTGAGGGGTCTAGCTTGGTTCTCTAAGCATGAGGAACCTGGGTATAACCTAGATCCAAGGTGCTGTCAAGCCAAGCCAGGAGGTTTTCACATCTGACCAACTCTTCCCTTTCCCGCAGCCCCGCTCTTGGCAGAGTGGCTGCAGCAGAATCTGGATCATCGGTGTTGAATGACTACTGAACCTACTTCTGGGAATAAGAAAACTACGTACTGAGATGCCAAATGTCTCCCCTTCGTCCCCCAAGTCAGGCCACACAGCCACCTGAGGGTGACTTGGGGTCACTCCAGGGGCGGGCCTCAGGGTGCAGTGGGCTGAACTGTCTCAGACACTGCTACCCCATTTTGGAGCACCGGTTCAGATCCCTGCTCATGCACGAGGGGAGGCAGATGATGATATCCTGAGTTCTTGGGCTCCTATCATCCAGGTGGGAGATGCAGATGGAGTCCTGACCCCTGGTTTTGGCTGGGACTAGCCCAGGCCGTGGTGGCCATTTGAGGAGTGAACCAACACATGGAAGATCTCACTGTCTCTCCCTGCCCCTCTACTTTTCAAATAAAAGAAAGAAGGCAGGCAGATAGGAAAGAAGTAGGATTTCAGTCCCCAGGCCAATTGTGCCACCTCCGTAACAAACACATTTCCCACCATCATCAGTTCTGAGATGAACAAGAAATATCCCCAGGGCAGTGACAAAGGCCACCAAGAAGGCAGAGTGAGAAGTGTCCGGCAGGAGAGATGGTCCCAGAGGAGCACTGGCAAAGGCTCCCGGCGCAGATGGCACTGAGGGCAGACTGAGGGCCAGGCAGCCTCAGGCACGGAGGAGGTGTCACGGAGAAGCCCAGCCCTGGGTTCCAGCTGGACTGCAGAACCACAGGAGGGAAGCATACGAGGGGCTGGCTGGTCGACAGCCTGGAATGTCATGTGGAATGTCGGAAGCTGGTAGGGGCCAGCTTCCGGCAGGTTCTAGGATGCTAGCAACCGGTGCAGGTATGTGCAAGGGGAAGAGGAAGGAGGTTGGGGAACGTGTGTGCAGTTCTGCCACCCAACAACTCCATGTGCCTCTGCCTCCGCATCTGCCGAATGTACCGCCCATAGAAAGGTGTGGGAGGAAATGAGGGAAAGCAACTACAGAGCTGAGAAGGCGGTAAGTGCTACAGGAGTGTCAGGTGCAATTTAAAAACATTACTGCTACTGTAATTTAAAAACATCACTGCTACCACTAGTCCGGTGAGGTGTTCTGTTGGGGTGAGGGCCGGGGCAGGGACAGGTGCTGAGCAATGGCCAGACAGCACTGGGAAAGCGACTGGGGAAGAGTGTGTGCTGCAGGAAGAGTCAGAGGGACCCGCTAGACACAGAAGGAAAGAGGAGCTGACGGGGAGGTGGGGGTGGGAAGGGGTACAGGTGCAAAAAGCCAGGTGGCAGACACAGAGCTTAGGGGGTGGCCCAGGAGTAGCTTATTGCACCCCCTTCTGCCCTGCAGAAGGCGCCAAGGCGCCAGACATGACCCCAGCAGAAGTCCCTGTGCCTGGGTCCCCCGACCCATCCCGCCTGGTGCATCTGACGAAGGACCTCAGGGCTCTGGGCCTGGCCACATGCACAGTACTTGGAACCCTCTGTGCTATCCTAACATCAGCCTGGACCCCACCCTCTAAACTGACCATTTCAATGTCTGAGCGCCAGTTTTGCTCTCAGTTGTCTGTGTGAAGCCGGCACCTAGGAGATGCCCAGTGTGGTGTCAAGTGTCCTGTGCTCCTCTCCCTGACACCCCGCCTCTTCAGTACCGCACGGGGGCCCAGCGCCCTCTAGAGGCCATCCTAGAAACCCCAGCACCCTGCTAAGCCACCTCCTTTGCTGGTAGGGAAGTCCCCAGGCCCCCCAGCACAGATCCCTCCAGGGCCTGCCACCTGATTCAGCAGTGATGGAATCATCATCCAGCCCCTCGGGGACCTCAGGTCTTTAAGGGGGCCGCCTAGCATCGTCACAATCTACCACAGCCACAGGGGCCCGAAGGAGTGCTGGGTGAGTGTGTGCTAGGTATGCAGGTCGAGCTGGCTTCTTGGAGGGAGGACATCAAAGCAAGGCTGCAAGGACAATGGATCCTGACTGGGACAAGCGGACAGACTGCAAAGAACAGAATCCAGCTAATGTTTCCTGCCTTAGCCCATCCCCTCCCCACACCGGCCCCAGGGCTCTGTGCAAGTGCCTTTGGAAACCCAACTATATCATAGTTGACCCCTCCACTCCCTAGAATCCTCCCCCTACCCCAACACACACACAAAAGCAGCCAGAAAGGTGAGGATTTAACTTCCCTGCACTGGTGGAGGCGGAGGCACAGGGAGTTCCTCTCTACATAGATGTGGGAAAACAAAGCAATACTGGGCCAGCAATTCTCCCGTGCCCACCTTCACAAGAGCCCCCAGTCAGTGTCACTCGGATGGCGCGGTGGTGCCCTGGCCAGCTGGGGAGGCAGCAGGGAGGGCTGGCACTTGTCCTGCCCTCGGGAGTCAGGCTACAGCACAAGGCTCGTCCAGGGCCAGGCAGCAAAGGGAACTCAGCTGGTGGTGAATCTGGAGTTGGCTTCTAGCTTGCAGACAGGGCGTGTGGTAGGGTGGTGGGGAGTGGTCAGCGAAGGACAACAAATGCCAGCAGTGGCCGCTGGGCTGGGTGGGGCCCCATTCACTGCTGGCACTCTCAGTGTTGGTGCAGGGACTTAGCCAAGGTCAAGGTAGGAGCTGAAGTAGCTCCAGGGACCGTGAGCATTGGCTGTGAACTGTGATGCCCACAGCTCAGCACAAGGGCTGGGGAGGGCATGTGGAGTGGAGAAGACACACACTAGCAGGTGGAAATGGTCCCTGAGAAGTCATTGCTGTTCTTCCAGATGCAATGGCCTTGTCCATGGCTCTCCAGCCCCTGGCCAGGCAAGTGGAAACATCCCGGCCCCTGATCTTGAACTCCTTCCTGGAAAATGTGATAGTCAGCTCCTGAAACTTCTGATTGAAAGGAGGGGGCTGTCTCAAACTCAGGACTTCAAGACTTACACCTGCCTACCCTCACCCTGTTGGAAGTCCTCGCATGTGTGCATGTGTGTGTGTGGTGCACACGTGTGCACACACATGCGTGTGTATCATGTCTATAACCCAGTGATTGGGAGCCAGGCCAGACCGGGTAGTTTGCCTCTTTTGAAGTGAACTTAAACTGATCAAACTTAACCATATGACTCACAACCAGTTTCTCACACCGCTAGTGACAAGATGCAATAATAGTATCTGCCTCTCGGGAGGACATCCTAAGCCCCCACCCCCTTCCAGCATGAACTGTAGCCCTCCAGGTCCAGGAGCTGCTCAGTGCAGGAGAGCAAGCCCTGGACTTCCCAGCGCCTGCCTCACCTCATAGATGTTGAACTGGCTCTGTCCACGGGCCAGTTCCCGGTAGCTCGTGGTGAACTCCCCAATGAAGTCATGGCTGCAAGGCAAGAAGGTAGCTGAGACCCCCGAGGCCTAGGCTCCCCCACACCCTTGCACCTGGCTCCCAGGTCTGTCTGGGCACTTCATTCCAGCCGCCCCTGCCAGCACAGAGGTGGGTCCCTGGGAAGAAGGCGCAGGTCCAGCCTGGGAGGAACAGAACTCACCTCTATTTGGATTCTTGTTCAAAGAAATTTGCAGTTAGAGGTACAGAGAGGAGGACAACAAGAATCATTTGAAAAGAAAATGAATAGTGGATGCTATTCAGGAATGATGGTTCAGTGCCAGGTGTGACCATGGCATTTGTGGTTGTGTGGAAAAATGCTCTTATTTTTCAGACATTTCCAATGGGATATTTAGAAGTAAAAATGCCACAATGTACTTTCACTGACATTAGCAACACAGAGAGAAAGCAAATATGGCAAAATGTGATAACTGCAAAACTGGAAGAATCAGATAATGAGCTAAAAGGTGGCCCTGAAATTTCTTTTCTGTATATTTGACATTTTCCCAGTATGTTTTCAAAAGACAATTAAAGGGCCGCCACCTGTGGCACAAGCATCTCACATGGTTGCCGGTTCAAGTACCAGCTGTCTCACTTCTGATCCAGCGCCCTGCTAATGTGCGTTGGAAAAGCAGCAGAAGCTGGCCCAGGGCTTGGGTCCCTGCACCCCCATAGAGACACGGATGAGGTTCCTGGTGAGTCCAGCCGCTTGGGAACTGAACCAGCAGATGGGAAATCTGTCTCTTCCCCTGCCCACCACCCCTCTCTGTAACTGACTTTCAAAGAGAGAGGAATAAGAAGAAGGAAAGAGACAATTAGAGCTGTGTCCTGTCAGGCAGCTAGCTGGGGTGTCTCGCAGACCTGGGAGTAGGTCTGGGTTAAGTGCAGCAAGCCCTGGCCACAGCAGGACTCCTACTGACAGTGTAATTGGCCCCTTCACCTCCACGGTCCCTGTTAGAGGGCAGTGGTCCTCGCTGGCCTTGGTGTCCAGCTGGGGCATCCTGGAGGTGGGCATCCTCATTGGCCCTGCATGTACCCACACTCTTTTGAATATGTGTTTGTAGCTCTTGGCCTGTTGACTACAACAGCCTTGCTAGGGTCCAGTGGCAGCTGCTGGCTATCCCCTGTTGACCTGGAAGAAAATACTGCAGGTGAAGGAGACCAAGGCAGAAGCCAACTCTGCTAGCTATAAGGCCATTCAAGAGGAGAGGGAGGAGCTGGGGGAGGTAGAGTAGGCCCTGGCGCCCCCTGCAGCAGGCCTTGGGGTAAGGCAAGCTCCTGGGAGAGCACACAGGTGAGCCAGGGCCAGCTCAGGAAGGACTCCTCAGCAGTGCCACAGCATGGGTGACCACTCAGGACAACAGGTCTGGATGGGCTCCAGTGAACAGTAAGGATCCAAAAGGCTCGGATTGAGTCTCCAGGAGGCCTGCTCCACCGGCCCAATCGTATGGACGGACTCTGTCCCCATCCCAAGCCACCCTCCCAGGGACGGCCCTGGACCAGCCAGGCACAGCCTCCAGAGGCCCTGCCTCAGCCCCTGGCCCCGCCCTCATCTCTGATAGAAGCCCCCCTCAGCCCGTAGTCTCAACCTCGCATGCTGATGGACAGCAGGAAGCCCCAAGGGTTCATCCCCTGTGTTCCCCCAGACCCCAGACTAAGCTCCTCCCCAGGGGAGGCCGAACACCTCGCCGCTCCTGCCCACACGTGGCATCATCTCACCTCTCCCCGCTTACCTGCCATCTCGGTCCCAGTCGTACACCTCCACCTTGATGGTCCTGCAAGACAAAAAGCCCTGGGTGGGACCAAACCAGGGCTGCATCTCCTGCTCTGGGTACCTGGGGAAGCCAGGACATCCTTCCTATTCCAGCTGGCAGTGCAAGAAACAAACCCTGGGAGCCTTTTAGCAGAGGTTTGACAGGAAGGAGGCAACCCCCACAAGCTGGGCAGGTGCTTCCAGGAGTGTGGGGAGGGGGAGGCGCTCAGACGTCCGTTCAGTCCCACACCCCCTGCCTGTTTCCCTGCTCACCATCTCTTGGCCACCCCAGTGGGGTGAAAATGCTTCGTGACCACTGGGGTGCCGTCAGGACTGTGGGCATGTGGCCCTCCCTGGGTCTCGGGGCTAAGCAGCGAGAGTGCTTGGTGGGACCACAGATGGGAGGGGCTGGCCCTGAACAGCAGGGTTGGGACCGGGGACAGGAGGGCCTAGTGGAGACATCTGACTGTGCCTGTCCATGCCTGCGACTGGCTCCTGAGTGAGGGTGTAATTAGCTTCGCTTTTTAGCCTGGCTGCTTTAATTAGTTTGTTTTGACTTCTATGCATGGGGCTGGGCTCCCAGAACCCACTTTATTTTTAGCCCCGTTCCCATGGCAACAGGCTAACGGACCAGGCTGCATGGAGGGCGCCAAGGCTGCTGGTTAACCCTCAGCGCTGGCTGCTCCAGTCTTGGGGGATGTCCAGGGATGAGAGCTACCAGGGCTTCAGGACAGGGTTGAAATGTGGCGAGCGGGGAGAGGCTGAGGGAGCCGGTACCCCAGCCTTCAGATCTACCTGGGACCCTGTCTCATATGAACAACGCAGGGTCTGGCCCTGGCCACAGCCCATCTCCATGTCTGCCAGGAGGTGGCCTGGGGGCCCCACGACTGCCAGCAGGAGGCGCTATCTCATTTCCGATGAGCCTCCCCCTAGAGAGGCCGGCAAGGGACAGCTGCAAATCACATCTCTGGGGAGTGAAGGTGTGGCTGGCAGGTGTACAGAGGAAACCACGACTCCTGAGAAGTCAGAGGCACAGGAGCCCGTGACTTTCAGGGATCCTTACTCCTCAAGGAAACAAAAGCTATGTCTCTCTAGGGCAAGTGTGCAGATGGACGGTCCTGGCTCGGACACTGGCTGCACAGGGACCAGCTGCCACCCTGAGCCATGCACCCTCGTGTTAAAGTTGGGATAACAAAGGCTGGCACAGCGGCCACCGAGACAGAGGAACAAGATCCCCCTTACACCTGGAGGCGTGGCGCATTCTCATCACGATGTCCCTGGGCCACTCTCAGGTTTTGAAATGAAATGCGCTTAAACCAGAGGGCACAGGTGCCTTGCCTGGAAACCTGGGCTCAGCAATTTCCTGTTCCCGCACAGATCATCCTACCTGTGACCTCACTGGCACCTCTAAGCCTGGCTACCTGGTAGGGTTGCTGCTTAAGGATCCCCCTCCCCCAGCCCTGGGGATTTGTTCAGAGTCACAAAGCTTGGGAATGTTTGAGGCAGAAGAAGCCCACAGCCCTGCCCTCCCAGGCCAGGCCTCCTGCCACTGTTCCCCACCCCCCAAACCAGGGTTGACATCTCCTAGCCTCCACGCGGGGGTGGGGACCTTAAGAGATCTTAGTGGCAGCCACCACTCCTTCATCACTGACACTGGCTTCTCGGGTGACAACATGGTGACAGCTCAGAGTCTGCAGAAGGACCCCGGCTTGGGGATAGCCCTGTGATACCCACGTCGTCGCTGCCCTCCATGTGTGGAGGGCCACCGTGACAGGGCAAGAGCAATCCTGAACGTCTGATTGCACTGATTTTGACTGATTCCCGTGTGCAGGCAGAGTCCGGCCTTCCCTGGATGAGACCCCACCTGCTGCACTGAAGGGAGCCCTGGCCATGCTGATGACCCCCGTCCTCATCCCAGAGGTCCAACTGGGTGGGAGAATCAATGAGGCAGTGGGCATAGGGGGTCAGACTGACACGGTGGCTGTGACCCCCTAGTTCTGAACAGGATGTAGTGTTGGGGAAAAGGGGCAGTGGTGCCCCAAAGCTAGCGGGCCCCAGCTGGGGGCCAGGCACAGCTGACAGCTCCATTTATAACCCCTCTGCTGCCCCAGCTCCTACCAGGCACCACCTGCGACCTGTAGGCCTTGGCTCTCAATCTTTGTATCCAATCCCCACGGAGCCTGATGGCAGGTTGTCATTTCTGAGGACAGTACCCAAGGGCTCTGGTATGGGAGACAAGGGAATGAGCTCCTGCAGCCCACAAAAGGAAGATCTTGTTTGGCATGAAAAGACCCAAGACACAGAGCCTCAACCTGGGAGGGGTACCAGTTGGGGTGTAAGCTCAGCCTTCCTGGGTACAGGCAGCAAGGCCCTTAACACCTGGAAGCTTCTCAGAGTGCTGGGGGCATGCCACACCCAGGCAGCAGCCGTGCAGGCAAAAGCTGTGGCTCTCAGCCTGTCACTCTCTTTAAATCTACTCACCAAGTTAGCAGCTCAGCCGGACAAATTCTGAAGTCACAGAATGTTCCAGAGGAGCAGGGGGCACATGCCAGGTGGGCAGGCGGGGAACGTGTTCTCATCCTGCTTTACCTCACAGCAGGGCTGGACTGGCTCAGACCCCGGTGCTTCTTCTCTGACTATAATTCTGTTTAGCTACACTTCCCCTTGCCCCCACTGTCATATGGAGTGGAGCCCCAGTAAAGGCAGGGTGACCCCAAATCAGAGAGGGCTGGCCTGGAAGTGACTTCTGCAGAAGGGAAATGTACCTTCTTCCTACGGCAAGTGACATCAACTGACCCTCCATTTCCCTCTAGAGCCATTCACAAGGTACAGTAATGCACTGGGATTGGACCCAGCTCGGAACATGTCCTAAATACTAGTAATTTACATAATGCTAATGGGATCCCTCCCTCACAAAGCTGCTGACCAATCACAGGTTGGGAGCCGGCCCTGCTGCTTCAATTCTCCTTCTCCTGGGTCCCCTCCTTCCTCTTGAACAAAATCCTTGTTCTGCCTGCTCCTGATCGGTGGCATCCTCCATGAGGCCCTGGGCAGCTGGCCTCTGCCATCCCCTCCCCTGCAGACCCCGATCCTACCCCTTCCCCTTCGGCTGGCCCACATCCACCCCATGCTCCCTTCGTCCTCTCCCTCCTTTCCTTTCAACAGCAGCAGCTCCTTTTTGAATAGAAATACAGTTTTTGAAATTTAAGAATAACGATGCTGGGGCCAGCATGGTGGTGGTACAGCAAGGTAAGCTGCTGCTTGTGATGCCAACATCTTCTCTTGGTGCACTGATTCGAATCCTAGCTGCTCCACTTGTGTTCTAGCTCCCTCCTATTATGCCTAAGAGGACAGCAGAAAATGTCCCGCTGCCACTCACATGGGAGACCAGGATGGAGTTCCTGGCTCCCTGGCCTAGCCCAGAGATGTACAATCTTTCTATATGTATCTTGCCCCACCTCTGTATAACAACTCTGCCTTTCAAATAGGTACATCTTTGGGTGAGGGGCGGGGGGGTGGGTGGGTAAAGATGGTGTTTTGTAGATGGATGGCCTGTAAGCTATGAAGGAAAACCCTGGAATGCAGAGCCATGTCCATGGGACCTGGTCAGGGTCACATTACTCTGCATTTCTCCTGCCCCATGGGCCTCACGACTCTTGCAGCCTCATCCATGAGCAAACATCAAGCTCCTCTGAGTCTTCCTGACTGCTCTTCCCTCTCCCTTTGGCCATGCAGTGTGCCGAAGTCCTAGCCCTACTGCCACTGTTGCCACCAGCAAGCCCGAGGTAGGGTGGGGACTCTGTTTCCTTCCTGGCAAGGTGTGGCACCTTTTAGCGCTGCCTCCCAAAGAGGAGCTACCTGCTTGCGGGGTGGTGGGGGGAGCCCAGGGCCTGCCATGGAAGTTCCACTAGGGATCTTGCAATCATGGCAGCCTGTGTGTTTCCACACTGGCCTGTGAGCCGCCCGCGGCAAGACTTGGCATCCCCCATGCAATGTGTGGCTGGCTGCCTGGCTTGGACGCTGTGACTCCTGGGAGAAGCCGAGCGTGCTTTGTGAGGCTGCCAGAGGCTCTGAGAGAGAGAAGAGAAGGATGGTGGCCTTGTTTTCCTGTGCTAGGGCCAGGCCTGCCTGCCCTGGGGGCCTCGGAGTGCTGGCACCTCCTGAGAGACTGCTGGGCACGTGGCTCACACCAGGGCTAGGGCAGCTGGCGTGACATGCCTAGTCCCTATGATTAACCGGGCTGTCAGTCACGTCACAGACTATCTGTGTCTGGGTCTGCAGAAAGGCCCAAGCTGCCACCAGCCTGGAGGGACCTGAGGCTGGCACTGGGGAGGGGAGACGGGTGGAGCCTGCCTGGTCTGCCTTCTCACACAGCATAGTGTGCACCTGCTCAGTGACCCAGCAGGCACACCAAAGCTCTGAACCTTGCTGCCCCCTCTCCTTCCCTGGCAAAATTGGGTTCTGGGGTCCTGGGAGCCCTTCCTTGGATGGAAGGAGTAGAGGAGGGGTCACCTGGTCACCCAACAGCATCAGGGTAGCTGTGCCAGGGCCTCCCATTCCTTCCACCTCACAAAATTTTAAGCATCACACGCTTCCATCCACCACCCAAACTCCTCACTTCCTCTCCATCCCAACTATTCTTCCAGAGCCCCTGCCTGCAGGTGCCCCATCTCCCTCAGCTCCCAGCCTTTCCTGCAGAAGCTCCAAGATCCACAGGACATGTGACAGGGGTCCAGTGTGGTGCCAGTGTGTGTCCCCAGCCTTCACATGCACAGTTACTGAGCTATGCAAATCTGCACACACACCTGGATACCTGAGCTTTCAGGAGACAGGATCCAGGGCTGGGCCTGCACAGGTGTATGCTGACCACCTGTGCGACAGACTGTGGCTGCTCTGACCCAGCCAAGAGGCAGGGAAAGGAGTCCCCACGAATGTCTCGGATCAGTACCTGATCTGGAGGGAAAGGGGCACCCCTCCACCCCACTGCCCACAGTTTCCGGATGGTGCTGCCCTGGAATTCCCCCCCCCCAACCCCCAGCTTCCCCAGCCGAACAGCAGCAGTCACCAGGAAAGCAGAATGGGTTCCCATGGCCCGGCCCGCACCACGGGGCTCTCACGCAGCGCCACCCTCCCCTGGCTCTCCCTGCAGTGTGAAGATTCAGCTTTCTTTGCATGACTTCTGGATGAATGTCCCCTGGGGGCGCGTGGGCTTGTGTGGTGGGGTGCAGGGTGGAGACTGTGCTCTGCTCTTGCTGACTTCCCAGCTTCCCTGCGCAATGCACACAGCAGGGGCCTGCAGACACAGGCTCGTGCACAGAGCGCTGAGCTGCGTGGCTTGTGCATGCCTCCTCATGCAGCACATGTTACAGAAGATTTAGCGCAACCCCACCAGGTGGACAGTGGGAATGTCCATTTTGCAGATTAGCAAACTGAGGGTCAGATAGGCCAGAGCTTACCCAGGCTCATGGGCCTCTCTCGTCATAGGGTCAGCCTTGGAAATGGGATCTACCCGCAAACGACAGTCATGATAACAGCTAACACATGGCAGTAACAGCAGTGTAGGAATCAGAAAGCACAGCCCCTCAACCCTCCTGGCTGGGAATGGGGCCAGCAGGGACGAGGCCCAGGACCCTGACTCTCAGAATTCCCCGGGCTGGGTCAGGAGCTGCAGCTGTCCCACCCCTCTCCAAGCCTCCTCTGCTGGCCCATGAAAGACAAGGTGCTGAGCCCAGGCCTGGGCACAGGGACAATGGTTGGCATCCCTGGAATGCCAGATACCTCCTGTACCGCAAGCTTTGGGATTTTCCCATGCACAGGAGGGGGTGCCAGTCGGGACAGGGTGGGGTGCGTGACTGTGGTCAGTCCACAGCCCCAGGAGGGCCCTGCACACTTGCCAGCAGGACTGGATCCTGCCTGCAGGGAGGACGGGCGAGCTCTCACCGATCGTAGTCTCCGTTGCAGAGGGCTCTCACAGGAATGGAGAAGGTCTGCCAGACTGGGTTGAGGGTGTTCTTCATGACCTCAGTCTTGTGGCAAATGGTGAACCTGGCAGAGACAAGGAAAGGCTGGCAGGTACGAACCCAAGGCAGGCAGCCCCCCAGAGCAGCAGAGCAGCCAGCTGGTGACCCCCAGGCGTGAGCTGTGGACTGAATCCTGGAGGCCTCACTGCAGGAGGCAGCTGAGACCTGGGAGGGCAGACATGTTTCAGGAAAGGGTCAAGAGCTCTGGGTCCACTGGCCATGTCTTTGTGCTGGTCTTTCCTGTCTGGGCCTCTGTTCCCTGCCCCGTCAGCCCCTCTCCCAGTATCCAGCTGACAAGCATGGGTGATGCTGGACATGCATGAATCCCTGAGATCGCAGGGGAAGCTGGGTGTCCAGGTGGTGGCTGCCCGCTGTCAGTCCAACGAGTGTGTCTCCCCTTTTTCCATCTTCACACTCACGTTTGTCATCTTGGAGTCAAATGCCACCCCCATAAAGTCCTCCCTGACCTACCATGTCCCCACACTCTGGTGACTGCCACACCGCTGTGTCCTTCCACTTCCTTTCTTTTTTCATTTATCACCAGCTAGCATTTCGACAACGGCCAGCTTTCCCCAGTTTATTCTGTTTGTGACCTGTCTCTGGAACAAGGATTTGTCTCTTTTGGTCACAGGTGTCCCCGCAGGGCCACCACGATGCTTGCCACTTAGCTGTTTTCCAATCTTCTTGAAAGGTGAGCCAATAAATAAATGAATTTCCATTGGCATTGTAATCCAAGAGGATTAAATCACTAAGACCCACCCTTTCCAGCCTGGATCCACGACCCTCCTTTTGCAAACTAAAAAGTACCAAACGCTTGTCGCTGCTGGGCTGCCATCCAGTGTGCCTGCCCACTCCCACCCTTGCCGCCTGGATGGACAGCTGACGGCAGAGCTGGGCTGGGGGCAGGGATTTCTCCCTGCCATGTGCCAGCATCCACCCCAGCTACACCCCAACTTGCAAAGGCCACAGGGTGAGTGCCTGGGCTCTGCCTGTGCCCACACAGCCTGTGCCGCTGCCTCACTGGCAGACTTCAAGTCAAAATGTCACTCCTGTCACTGTGGCTCAGCGTTCCTCTTCTCTGCTCCTTCTCACCCACCCGCTGGGGTGTGGAAAGACATGTGGGAGACCTCCCCACACACACCACCAGAACTGTGATCCAGGACAGCAATGGGCACGGGGGCAGCAGCTGCCAGGGCTTGGGACAGGCTGGCAGGGCAGGGAGGGAGATTAGGGGCCTGGGTGGTAACAGCAGGGAGGAGAGGGTCATGCAGAAGTCAGTAGCCATCATTCTAGAAAGTTCTACTGGATTAGAGATTTGTTAAACATCACTCCACTCCTACCTGACAGCACTGGGTGAGGCTTAGAGAGAGCTCATCTCTCCACAACATGTCCTGTCTCCAGCTGCTGCGCTCTGGGCATGCTTGCTTTCCCTGATGCCCTTTGCGTGGCCCCACATGGCTGCAAGTCTCCAGGTCTCCTCCTCCTCCTCCCAGCTGGGGGTCTCCCTAAATCTTCCAGTCTCTCTCCTCAAAACATCAGGGATCCCTGTTCTACCTGTCCAGTCTCTGTCTCTCCACAGGTGCCTGCCTCTTGGCTGCCTCTGGCCAACAGCAAGCTTGCCCCTGAGAATGCCAGCCTATGCTTCAAGGAAATCTGCCACTGGACAGGTACTTGGCATTGTGGCTAAAAGGTTGTCTGGGACAGGTGTCTGCTGCCTCAGAGACCCTCCCAGCTCTGCTCTCGGCTCCATTGCCCTGCATGCACAGCCTGGGGTCCTCAGGTGATGGCTCAAGTGCTTGGGTCCCTGCTCCTGACGTGGGAGAGTAGGACAGAGCTCCAGGCTCCTGGCTTTGACCTGGCCCAGCCCTAGCTGTTGTAGGCATTTTGGTGTGGATCTGCAGATGGAAGCTCTCTCTCTCTCTCTCTCTTTCTCTCTCTGTTCCTTTGAAACAAAAGAAGAAGAGAGGAAGGAGTGATGAATAGATGAAGAAGGGAAGGGAAAGAAGGAGAGAGAGCAATACAGATCTGCCCCCTAAATAAACTCACGCCTCCCCCCACCAGCTCCTTTGCTCTTTCAGTACGCTGGATTGCCATGGCTTTGCCACCAGGGAGGGGTCTACACGTTGGTGTAGGAGCCAGATCTGTCCAGTGGAGTCTCTGTGCTATCCTCTTGGCCTTGCCCATGCCTCCCTTACCCACTTCCCACATCAACCCCACATTTCCACAGCATAGCTCAGTGCTTGCTTGGCTCGCGGCACCTCCCACCCGTTAGCACATCAGTCAGCAGCCTCTCCCTCTTCCCACCCCCTCCATCCCACACCTCACCATCACAGGTAGGAACAGTGATGCGCATGCCCCCATAGCTACACACCCCCTCCTGCTGTCCAGTCCCTCGGGTCCCCCTGGCCTGAGACTGGCGGAGCCCACAGTAACCCTCCCCTCACACCCTGGCAAGCCCTGGCCTGGGACACTGCAACTCAGGCCCTCTCCTCTTCCACCGCAAAAGTCAAGTCCAAGGCAACCGAGATTATTTAAAGAAACCCCAGCGAGACAAAGAATCCCTTTGTTATGCAAATGAGCACACCTAATTTCCCTTGTTTTGTGCGTTCAGATTTAAAAATCAGTTTTCCCTGGAACTGAATATCCTTTCTCCCTGCCACCCTCTATCCCCTAACACATGCACACATGCACACCCCAGAATTTCCAAATCCATGTAAAGGCTTCCTGCCTCTGATGCACCTGCTGGGGCAGTCATCTCTCCAGCTGCCAATCATTCCATCACAGCCCCACCCAAGTGCCCACCATGCCCCCTCCTTCCCAGCCTGCTCCCCAGGCCCTTGTCCAGAACCTGCTCTTCAGTTAAAGCTCCCTGGCCCCATCACCTCTCACTCCTGCAGCTTCTCAGGCAGGCTGCAACAGCTGCCCCAGAACCCTGCTGTGGAACGAGATGGTGGAGAAGCATCTTATAGACGAAACCACAGGCCCAGAGAGGCTGTAGGACTGTCCAGGGTCAGACAGCAGATGGTGCGGGAGGGGCCTAGGCCCCAAGCCCTCAGCCCAGAACATGTCTTTCTGTGTGTAGTAGGGACCCATGTGTGTCAGTGTGTGGTGGATGCATCCACACTGTGGGTGGCTCCCCGAATAGAGAGCAAGAAGTGAGGATGGAGCCTGCGGCAGAGTGTGGGCTGGGGGGGGGGGGGCTTCAGCTCAGCGGCTCTGCGGGGACTGACTGACGAGCTGGGGAGAGGGGAGAGGGCTTGCAGATAAGAACGAGGATGTCTGCAGCAACAGACTGATGGACTGACGCAGTTGCTGCTAGGGGGTCTTTCGCCCCACCCCAGCCCTGTTTTAGCCCCGATACCAGCTCTGTTTTCACCAGTTTGGAGGCTGCCCCACCCCCAACCAACTGGCCCCTTCTTATAATTGTGGCGCTGCCCTAGAGCCTGTACTTCCAACCCCGAGTCCCTCAGCTCTTATGAGCAGAAGGAGGTGAGCCCAAGCCACCCACTACTACCCACCCTGATCGCAGAGAAGAGCATGCAGAAGGTGGGCGCTGGCAGCCACTCACGTGCCATCCTCATTGCTTCTGTAGAAGACCAGGAAGGGATCAGATTTCCCAAAGAAATCTTTCTTGTCCAGCTTATTGGCACAGAACTGCATTGTGGCTACATCCTGGAGGAAAGGATGAAGAACAAAGCTGGGTGAGGCAGGTGCAGGCAGGACCAGCCCAGGCCCCAGGCAACCAGGCGGCTCCCAGAAACCAGCCCTGGCCAGAAAGGGCAGCATCTCCACTCCCCCAACAGCACCCAAGGGCCAGCTCCTGGGCTTGCTCACTGGGGAATCACTTTGAGAGAACTCCTTTGCTGTATCCTCAAACTCCAGCATTAAAGCCCAAAGGGCTGTGGCCAAGGCCCAGCCTGCAGTCAGAAGCCTAGAGCTTAGAGCTGTAAGAAGCTGTAAGCAGAGCTCGGCGTGGCTCATCTGCCTTGGCTGACTGGTCCCACAACCCAGGAGTGCAGAGCTGCCCAGGTCCTGGAGAACCCTGAGGGGCCTGCCCTTTTGGGGCCCCAAGACATGGCCAGCATGTTACAGGGCACTGGGCTGAGCCAACCCCGGGGCCTCTTCCCCATTCTGTTCCCCAACTTCAAAGTCTACACGCAGACTCAGGTTCAAGGTTCAAGGTTGTGCCCTGCCCATCCTGGGGCCTGCCTGGAAGTCATCTGGACAGGGGTGTGAGGTTAGTGACCCTGGGCCCTGACAGACAGCTGCAAGTTCCCACGAGTTAAGAGACTGAGTCATGGTGGTAGGGGTGCAACAGGTAGGAACACGGCCACTGGGACCCTGCCTCTCATTAGCTGTGTGTCCTAGAGCAAGTCACCCTCTCCATGCTCAGCTTCCTCAACTGCAAAACAGCGGTAATGCCAGCCCCTGACTCAGAATGTGTGAGAGTAAAACGAGTTCACAAGAGTACAGAGAACAGTGCAGGGCACAGCCAAGCGCTGCATCCCCGTGAGCCATTCCTGCTATTATTAATATTACTATTCTTATTACTTGGGCACTTCTATTATGGCCTCTGTCCCTGCCCCACACCTACCTCTGCCACCTGCCAGGTTTTCCCTCAAGGACACCTGACAGTAGCACACATGGCATCCCCCCCTTCACTCATCAACAAATATTTATAAGATCCTGTCTAGGCAGGATAGTTCCTGAGCTCAGTGCTCTCATCCCTTGTCATATTGAACCCTCAGAACAACCCTGTGTGTGTGTGTCGGGGGTGGGGTGGGGTGGGGTGGGTAGCACAGTAGCTTAGTGTCTAAAGTTCTTGCCTTGCACACACTAGGATCCCATATGGCTGCCGGTTCATGTCCCGGCTGCTCCACTTCCCATCCAGCTCCCTGCTTGTGGCGTGGGAAAGCAGTCAAGGAACGGCCCAAAGACTTGGGACCCCTACACCCACGTGAGACCCAAAAGAGGCTTCTGGCTTCAGATCAGCTCAACTCCGGCCATTGCAGACACTTGGGGAGTGAATCAGCAAATGGAAGATCTTCCTCTCTGTATATCTGACTTTGCAATAAAAATAAATAAATCTTTAAAAAAAAAAGTGTGGCTGGTGTGGTAGTTCAACAGGCTAACCTTTCACCTGTGACACTGGCATGTCTCCTTCCCTCTGTAAGTCTGCCTTTCCAATAAAAAGTAAATAAGTCTTAAAACAAAAGCAACCCGGGCCCGGCGCGATGGCACAGTGGTTAAGGTCCTTGCCTTGTACGCCCGGGATCCCATATGGGCGCCGGTTCTAATCCCAGTGGCCCCGCTTCCCATCCAGCTCCCTGCCTGTGGCCTGGGAAAGCAGTCGAGGACGGCCCAAAGCTTTGGGACCCTGCACCCGTGTGGGAGACCCAGAAGAGGCTCCTGGCTTCAGATCATCATAGCACATTGACCATTGCGCTCACTTGGGGAGTGAATCATCGGACGGAAGATCTTCCTCTCTGTCTCTCCTCTCTGTATATCTGTCTTTCCAATAACAAGAAAATAAATCTTTTAAAAAAAAAAAGCAACCCTATCTATAAAGAGGAAGATGGGGGTTCAGAGAAGTTGGGGAGCCTGCCCAAGATCTGAAACTGAAACATTTCAGAGTGGTGCCTCTTCTTCCACGCTGCTTGCCTCCCTCATGCATGGTTGATTACATTTCGCCAGGCCCACATCCCTGACTTAAGAAGCTGCTTGAGGCTCTGAGTGTGTGTGAGACCGACCTGGGATGCAGGCGCCTGTTTGTAGGGAGCTGTGAGGACGGCCGGGCAGGAGATGGAGTGGCTGGCCCAGGTGACACGTGGGCAAGCAAAAGCTCTGAATGCATCTTTCATCATTGAGAAGGAAGCTGGGTGGGGAGCTTGCGAGGCCCGAGGAATTCTCCCAGGGAATTCTAGGACTTCAGGCCTGGAATAAGAGAATGGCTGGGGAGGTGCAATGGTGCAGCAGGATATGCTGCCACTTGGGATGCCCATGACCCAAGTCAGAGTGCTGGTTCCAATTCAACTTCCTATTTATGCATCGTGGGAGGCAGCAGGAGATGGACCCCTGCCAACTACATGGGAGACTCAGATGAGCTCCAGGCTCCCAGCTTCAGCCTGGCCCAGCTCTGGCTGGCATGGGCATTTGGGGAGTGAACCAGAGGATGGAAGATCTTTTGATCTCTGGAAACAGGAAAATAAACATTTCTAAAAGAGGGTAGACATGGCTGACTTATTGAACACTTAAGTCAGGCCCTATGTATGGTAAGACTGTATACTACAAACTCTCCCCATTTTACAAATGAGAAAACTGAGGCTTTTAGCCACTTGCCCCAAGGTAGTCAAAGCAGTCAAAGGAAGTCAAGTTTTTCCCTGTTTTTCCATCCAGAAAAATATCAACGGCATTAGGCACAGGCATGTAGTCTGCACAGCAAAGCTACACTCCCATCTCTTACTGGATGGAGGGAACACCTCGAATGCTTCCCTTGGGAGTCTTATCTCACAGCCCAGAAAGAGGAGAAGGGCCAGGGCCCGATGGGCTCCACCACAGGACTGACCATGCACACTGGGGGCCCAGTGTAAAGGAGTGAGGAGGCCTCTTATCCAAAAAGAACTGGAGCGTTTCAAGGTGGGGGCAGGTGCACAGTGACCTAAGACAGGTCCCTGGGGGAGCTGCTGGGGTCATGTGTCCTTAGAGCCACTCAGGGCTCCTGCCTGCAGAGGCACAGAACTGCACAGGAGAACCCCTCCCACCTGAGGAAGCCATGGTTCGAAGTCCTGTCCCAGCCCCACACAGCCCAGAGCACTCTGGGCCTCTGCTTCCTTGTGTGCAGGGCAGGTGGATCAGCCCGTGGGTGATCCTGGAACATCCAGCAGCTGGAGAATGCCCAGAACAGAGGAGGGCTGAGGGGGAGGGGACAGTCCGCAAGCCCAGGATCTCTGCTACCTTCCCAGGTTGTTATCACAGTGATTGCTCACAGCTGTGTGACAGATACAGGTAAGATGCACCTGCTGTGCTCAACCTGAACTGATAGCAGCACAGATATACATGCCCATAGGAAGCCACCAAAGCACACCACACTATCAAGGAACAAAAGCTTTAAGCTTTCTTTCTTTCTTTTTTTGTTTTTAACCTCCTAGGAGAACACCTCAGAGTCTTGTAAGCTCAGGAAGGAAGGGCCCGGTGCAGAAGCCTAGTGGCTAAAGTTCTCACCTTGAATGAGCCAGGATCCCATATGGGTGTCGATTCTAATCCCAGTAGCCCTGCTTCCCATCCAGCTCCCTGCTTGTGGCCTGGGAAAGCAGTTGAGGACAGCCCCAAAGCCTTGGAACCCTGCACCCATATGAGAAACCCAGTGGAAGTTCCTGGCTCCTGGCTTCTGGCTTCGGATCAGCGTAGCACCAGTCGTTGCATTCGCTTGGGGAGTGAATCATCCGATGGAAGACCTTCCTCTCTGTCTCTCCTCCTCTCTGTATATCGGCCTTTCCAATAAAAATAAAATAAATCTTTAAAAAAAAAACAAGCTCGGGAAGGAGGTGGAAATATTAGAGAAAAACAAACGCAAGGACTTGACACACTGTAGCTTCCAGGGTCATTGAGTGCTCCATGGAGAGCCCACTGCTCCCTCCTGGCACCTGACTGACAGCCATGGGCCACCTGGCTGGAGACCCAGCTGGGCAGCCTGGGGCAAGGGCTTCCCTCTCTCTAAGGCTCCATACGCTGGATACAGTGTCACCCAGGAGCTTGCTGAGAAGATGAGAAGGAAAAGCAAATGTTGCGCTCTGCTCCAGCAGCCTGACCTGAGCAGTGGATGCACAGGAGCTCCTCCTGCAGAGGCCCACCCGCTTCTGGGTAGAACCTCGTAAAACCACCAATAATCAACTGCTGTTTACCTGCAAAAAGGGCACCTCACATGCGCCAGGCACTTTTTGCTATCTATTCACACATGGAGTTTTCACCACGACCCCACGAGGTTGTGTCCTGTTATTAGTTCCAGTTTAAAGATAAGAAAACTGAGGCACCGAGAAGGCCATGCCCTTGCTTGAAGTCGCACGGCGAGGGAGAGAAGCTGGGATTCGGACACGCAGTCTGGCTCTAAAGATTAATAACTGAGTCTGTAACTGATGCCACATAATCAAGATAAGTTTAATTATGCTGTGCCACCTCTGATGGAGAAGTTAGAGAAGTGTGAAATCCATTTCAGACAGGCTTCCGTGCAAAGTGAAAAGAGACAGAGACAGTCTGGCTCTGAAACGGAACTGCTGGAAAAATCCAGAGGTCAGGGGACTTGTTTCAACGCTTAGCCTGACCTGCCCTCCCCAACACAATCTGGAGTCAGGAGCATTTGCCAGGAGCCACTGCAGAATCCTGGATTGGGGGAGAGCTCTCTGGACCTTTCCCAGCACTAGCTTCCTCCCCATGGGCAGAACAGGAAAGCTACCTGCAGCCTACACTTCAGGAGGTGGCCCTGAGTTATATCAATAGCCACAGGAACCAGGCTTTCATTTCACCCACCCACCCCCTTCAAATATGAGAAACACCACAATCCCTCACCCACAGGCTGGGGACAATGGCCCTGACACTGCGGTGTGGGTCAACAGGGTGGGCCTCCACCAGGGACTGGGCTCACCCTAGCAGAGATGCTCTTCCCAACCACCAAGAAG